ATGCACACTTAGTTTGGCTTTGTTCTGAGTCTTCGTTAATTTTTGGTGATTTTTTATTTTCCCCATTTAAATCCATTGGACGGACAGTCCAATGTTTTTCAATGAGAGAAAAAACATAAAATCACCAAAAATTAACGAAGACTCAGAACAAAGCCAAACTAAGTGTGCATGGGTTTCACAAGGTGGACTAACTATTCCAACCATTTAAAACAGGTTTCAAACATTGTAAGGCACTTTTAAATGAGCGAAAACGGACATTGGAAAGGGCTTTTTGATGTCCGTTTTCGCTCATTTAAAAGTGTCTTACAATGTTTGAATGGTTGGAATAGTTAGTCCACCTTGTGAAACCTATGCACAGTTAGTTTTGCTTTGTTCTGAGTCTTCGTTAATTTTTGGTGATTTTTTGTTTTTTCTCTCATTGAAAACCATTGGATTAACCGGTTTTCAATGCATTCCTATGGGAAATGGTGTTTCACTTAACGATGTTTTCCCATAGTGATGGATTTTTTGGAACCAATTAACATTGTTAAGTGAGGCACCACTGTAATAAGGACTGTACTACTCCACTCTACTCCTGTCCTCACCTGGGTTTCATGTTTGTGTGGAAACCTCTGTGCCTTTTTAGATCCTGTTCAGACTACTTTAACATGCGCTAGCCTGGAGTATCTTTGAAGAGTATTTGGAAACTTCAGACTGGGTCATGATGCTGCAGCCAGACTGTTGACTGGGGGTGATTACATGGAGCATGCCCCTCTCTTGTTATAGCAGCTTCCTTGCTTAGCCACAGTTCAGAGTATTTGTTCTGTCCTACAATAGAGTATGATTAGAGTCCAGGCTATCTGAAGGACTGTCTTCTTTTCTACAAACCCATCTAAGTATTGAGATGATTTGGGGAGCCCTGTCTCTTGGCCCCACTACCATTGGAGGCGTGTTTGATGGGGAAATGAGTGAAGACTTACTCTGAGAACATTCCGAGGTTGTGGGACTTTGGCAATGGAGGTTAGGGCGGCAACCCCATATCTAGTCCTTTTGCAGGCAAGCAAAATCATTTTTATTTGGACAAGCCTCTGGCATTTTAGGATGAGTTTCTGTTCAAAAGGTTTAAAATGATTAAACACCTTTTTTTAAAAAAAAAACCCACACAAATGTGCTTTTTACTATGCCTTTTATCTGTTTTTATAATTTTATTTATCTGAATTTTATTACTGTTAGCTGCCCATAGTGCCATTTGGGGGGGCTGAAAGGAGAGATATAAGAGAGAGAGAGTGAGAGTGAGAGAGAGATCCATAGTGCCATTTGGGGGGGCTGAAAGGTGAGATATGAGAGAGAGAGAGTCAAGTTGTATTCAGATTCAGATGTAGCTCCCAAGTTGTATTCAGATTCAGATGTAGCTCCAATCTATATTTATATCCGGATTTTATGGTTTACAAGCCTTGCAGCTGGAATCTATTTAAGCTCGGCTTCATGTTTCTAAGCTTCCATGCAAATGTGAAGTCTGTCTTGTGATTGCTGGTAATAGGGCCAAACTGGAATGAATCCAGGTAGGTACCATGTGATAAAACTGAACATCTGTACAGGACTGGTACATTTTTCCTTGTTTCAATATCATGCTTAGATATACACTTACATTATTACCAATACTGTTCTCACTTCCATTTCTCCTTTAGGTACATTATAAAGGCTTAGTTTTTTCTGTTTGTTTTCTCCTTACTTTTGTGCAGGAAAACATAGGAAGACCGGGAGGGATGTGGCAATTAAGGTCATTGACAAAATGCGATTCCCTACAAAACAAGAAAGTCAGCTGCGCAATGAAGTGGCCATTTTGCAGGTAGAAATATGATACTGTGAACCTGTTTTGTGATGTCAAATGAGCTAGTATATTGCAGCATTGTAGGCTGGACAATCAGAAACTAAATTTCTACATAGTGATTATTTTCCATTATATGAATGAAACGTCTAGTTTGTTAGAGAACAGGAGCATAGAAAAGTTGCATGAAAATTGTTGATATGGCAGGAATCTTTTTGCATTTGTGTATTCAATACTATCGTTATATTACCTTTTCAGCTGCACTAGGAAATTATTAAAAGAGCCATTGTGAATATTGTATGCCTATAAATATTGCTAAAGACTCCCTCAGTGCTTTCATAATAATAAAGAACGGTTCACATCCAGACAAAGCAGGGCCTATCTGAAGTAGACATTTTCTGATTTATAGTACATCATGACTTGTTGCTTATGTCAATATTACATATTTCCTAGAATTTGCACCACCCTGGGATTGTAAACCTGGAATGTATGTTCGAAACTCCAGAAAGGGTTTTTGTTGTCATGGAAAAACTTCATGGTGATATGTTGGAGATGATTCTCTCTAGTGAGAAAAGCCGCCTTCCAGAAAGAATCACCAAGTTTATGGTTACCCAGGTGGGTTTTCCCATGTGATGGGTATATTCCTCTTCTCTGATGCCATATTGCCAACTGAAAGAAAAAAAATCCCAACATTATGAAGAGGCAGTCTTTCAGTTGGCAGCCTTTAATAATGTGATTGTTTCAACTTATTTGAACAGCCATTTCATACTACATTTTGTGAAGGAATAGCCAAATACCATTAGATATTAGTTTTCCCATGTGATAGGTATATTCCTCTTCTCTGAAGGAATAGCCAAATACCATTAGATATTGTCATGGAGATTGTTTCAGAAAGATCTCTGAAATGTAGTATTATGCACTCCTGAAACAAAAGCAATAACTTATGCTGCACACCAAGACTAATGGTGTCAGGACTGATGGTGTCTTTTTTCCCTGTAGAGCTAATCTTTTACACAAGGAGGAATTGTGTAAATGAAATTGCTGCTGGCAGGGATATAGGCCTGGACCACTGAATATTTCATTTGGTTGGAAATGTTAAGAGGCTAAAATTTCTTTTCACTTACAGTTGTAGCACTTTCCTGCCATTATGGACTATGCATGCAAAGAAGGGGAATGCGCTAACCCCACCCTGTCCTCACATGTTCCTAATGCTTTCCTCATGTAAGGTAATTTTCCATCAGTTGTCTTGAAGCATAGAGACTGTCCACACAGTCCAGAGTGTGCAGTTTCCAAAATTTCTGGATCAAGTGGAGAACCTCCATACATAATGAAGAAGAGATCCAGAAAGTCTTTCTCCACTTGAACAAAGCAGCAGAAACCTGTGAGGATGGGGCGGGGCTGATGTGCTCTCCTTCCTTGCATATTTTCCCCTATAATAGCTCAGCTGGGCTTATGCGGGGGTATTTTTCACTAAAAGACATGATGAAGTTGGGTTAGTGCTTTTTCACTCCCATGGCTTTGTTTTTGTTTTAACCAAAAGAGGGGTAGGACACTGGAGTACCCACTGTGGTATAGTGGGTAAAGTAATGGACTAGAACCTAGGAGGCCTAGGTTCAAATCCCCACTCAGCCATGGAAGCTCACTAGAGTTGGAACTGGTAAAATCACTGTTTAAATATCTCACTTACCTTAAAAGCCCTATTAAGGTCCCTTTAGGGACATGGTGGCGCTGCGGGCTAAACCAAAGAAGCCTGTGCTGCAGGGTCAGAAGACCAGCAGTTGCAAGATCGAATCCAAACGACAGAATGAGCTCCCATCGCTTTGTCCCAGCTCCTCAACCTAGCAGTTTGAAAGCATGTAAATGTGAGTAGATAAATAGGTACCATCTCAGTGTAAAACAGCGTTCCTTAGTCACGTTGGCCATGTGACAACCAAAACTTTCTTCGGACAAGCGCTGGCTCTACGGCTTGAAAACGGGATGAGCATCGCCCCCTAGAGTCAGACACGACTGGACTAAAAATGTCAAGGGAAACCTTTACTTTTTAAGTTGGTTCTGACTTGATGACACATAACAAAAATAGGATTTTGGAAACATTTTGATATAGTCCAAGCTTTGGAGGCAAATTTTGGATTATAATATCCTATATATTTTTATCTGGTCTTTTGTTCTGGAAGTATCATTTTTCTTCTCTTTCTTTTTAGATACTTGTTGCCTTGAGGAATTTACACTTCAAGAATATAGTGCACTGTGATTTAAAACCTGAAAATGTACTATTAGCGTCTGCAGAGCCATTTCCGCAAGTGAGTAAAGAGTGATATTCTTTCTGAGGGCTGTAAGAGAAAATCTGGGATATATTTTTCATGACCTAGGCATTACACATTTTTTGATTTTGCTGTTTTGAAACTTCTAGTAGTTTTGGGCATCTGAATGATTGTTATGCAACCCTCAAGCTATGACTATAATCTTGAAGAGCTCTGAGATTTAATGGTACAAGAACATATTTTGTAATGCTAAACTAGTTTAATGTTGAACCTGTACCAGCCCTTGTATCCACCTGGTATTAATAGATTGCATTGTGCCTTTTTTAAGTGAATGTTTATTGTAAATGGTGTCTTGGCACATAATTCCTCCAACCCACCTGAAATTTTAAGAAATGCCTCTTTTTAAAGGCATTGGTGCTTCTTTACTGAGTTTATAATTAACCAAAGAGTGTTTGTTTTCCAGGTGAAGCTGTGTGATTTTGGGTTTGCACGCATTATTGGTGAGAAGTCTTTCAGGAGGTCTGTGGTGGGAACCCCAGCTTACCTTGCCCCAGAAGTGCTGAGGAGTAAGGGCTACAACAGATCTCTGGATATGTGGTCTGTGGGAGTCATCATCTATGTGAGCCTTAGTGGTACATTTCCGTTTAATGAGGATGAAGACATAAATGATCAGATTCAAAATGCAGCATTCATGTACCCACCAAATCCCTGGAAGGAAATATCTAGTGAAGGTAAACATAATCAGGATGGAATGTATCTGTTCATACTATATTCCATAAAGTAATATTTTGTATCTTAGAAAATAACTATGGCATTTAAAGCATATAGATCTATGGAATCAGTTAAGAGGAAACCCACATGCTGTTCTTTGGGAGTAATTGTGAATCATTTTACTGTAACTGAGAAGATGGAAGAAAAGTTTTTTCTTTTAGTTCTCCTTGAAAACCCCTGCGACTGGGATACTGTGAGACAGTACATTTAAGGCATTTACACTGCTAGCCCCCAAAACAAGGATCTCGGGTTAGGGGTTAGAAAATGTTGGCACACTAGGCAAAAACTTGTCAGTTGGAGACAGATTCAGAGTATTACCCAGTGAGGAGATGATGATGATTTATTAGATTTATATACCGCACATCTAGAACGTGTCTACTCTGGGCAGTTGATGTAATCTTCAATGTGGTGCATGGCTTTTTGAATGACATAAGATCTAGCTCCAATTGTAGGTCCACTGACAAACAAAAAAACTCTTGTTCCTTCTCCAAAATTCCCAGCTTCTCATTATCTTTCACAGTAGCTTATATTGAGTAGGTCTGATGGAAACTGCAGTCTGCCCAGCTTTTGAAGGGCCAGAGTTGCCCAAGGGATCACATAACCCTCTATGTTACAGCAAGTCCACTGGCTGCTGATCCAGGCAGAGTTCAAAGTGCCGGTTCTAACTTATAAAGCTTTAAATGGCCTGGGCCCAAGCTATCTCAGGGCCCATCTCTCCCTTTATGAGCCTGCCTTGATATTAAGATCATCAGGAGACACCTTTTCCCTCAATCCTGCCAACTTTATAGGTGTGTTTAGTGGGGACACAGGAGAGGGCTTTCTATTTTGTTGCTCCCAGACTTTGGAACTTCCTCCCACAAGAGGCTGAATTGGCTCCATCTTTGCTGTCCTTCCTCAAGCAGGCAAAAACCTTTCTCTTCAAAAAACCTTTCCCTTAATGACTGGCTTTTTTGAATGTTTTGCCATACTTTGCTGTTTTGAATGTGTTTTGGTGTTGCTTTTTTGTTTACCATGTTAGTAGATTTGTTTGATCCTTTCAGTATTGTATATTCAATATTCTTAGCTTAGTATACTGTCTTTTAATGATGTAAGTTGCCTTGTCCTTAAAAGGCAGGGTAAAAATATTATAAATAATAAATAAGTATGCTAGAGGTGTGGATGAAGCCCCAGTTGACAAAACTGGCCTTGGAGGCCTCAATGTAAGCCTGGCTGTGCTATTTTTCAGGTGGTGCAGTGCATTTATCTCAAATGTTGCTTAGCACTCATCTCTTTCCAATGTTTCTTCTTGTTTGCTCTGGAGTTAAAAAAAAATAGTTGGCAGTACCTGAAGTCTAGATTTCTTCAAAAGGGGAATATTACTGGTGTAGTATTGTGTTCACAAAGTCTATTTGCATGTTTAATTATCTGTGTTTATATGCATGAATTGGTATCTTGAAACTCTTTAGCTAGTCCAAATGCATAGCTCTTGCTTTAATGTACACTTCCAACCATTGTAAACTTAGTTAATAATTGTGTGTCATCAAGACAATTTTTTATTTATGGCAACCTTGAACTTGTTTGAAGGAGTAATAATCCTTTTTAATGGTAGTTTTTAGAAATTTCGCTATTTTAGTTCTTGTTATTTTTGCAAAAAATAAAGAACAACTATAAGCTAGAAACACCCAACCATAAAACCCCCCACAAAGTATTGTGCTGCCTTTGAGATTTATTTAAGGGTGAGCTTTCACTGATTACAGTCCACTTCTTCAGACATATTGAGAACTTTATAGTATTTAGGCCACAGGTGTAGATACGCAGTCTATAATCTGTCAGACTGGGACCAAATTAAATGGGAGAGTGATAATATATTTTTTTAAATGATAGAGTTCAACTTTTATCAAAAACATTCAAAATAAGGGAACAGGCTAATCATATGCATATTTACTCAGAAGCAATTTCTACTCAAAGTATTTACTTGCAGTATTGTCATAAGGATGTCTAAGGTATAACCCAACTTCATGAAAATGAACGGAAATCTTGCGGTTGTCCTTAGGATATGAATTGTACCCTGGCTCCCTATACAATAAGTGCTTTGTATTTTGAGCATGTTGTTCCTTAAACTACTCTCTGAGGTCTAAATAATATTTTTCTTTCAGAATTATCATTATGTGGAAGAATGAAATATTCCTAATTTCTTTTTTTATTTGCTTCCTCCCCCAGCTATTGATTTAATAAACAATTTGCTTCAAGTGAAGATGAGAAAACGTTACAGTGTTGACAAATCACTTAGTCACCCATGGTTACAGGTACAGCTAATGCATGCTCAGTTTACTCTGTTATCTGATAACCAGTCCAATTATATGACTCATAATCTGACTAAAGTAGTTGAGAAATCCTGCATAAATGAGATCTTGGATGTTTTCATGCCATTTGAACTTCCCGTAGAACTAGCTAAAGTGATAGGATACATATTTTCCCCTTCATGCCTCTTGTTTTCAAGTGTGACATGAGGCTTTTTAATTTTTACTTGAAAGCCACTGATAAATATGAATCTGGCCACTTGCAATTATGGTGAAAATTCTGTTGTTTAGCACAGCAAATTGCACTAGAGTATTCCTATTGAAACAGTGGGAGTTTGGTGAGTCAGCTCTTCCATAAGTTCTATTTATTTAAATTGGCCTACTCTAATAGAGGCTTACTTTAGTATAATAAGTTGCAGTTAGAGTAGGCCCATTTGAATCAATGGAATATATGGAGGACTCAGTAAACCCCAGTTGTTGAATGGGCTTACTCTAGTGTGATTTACTACCAAAAAGCAGGATTTTGGCTGAACAACAGTGACCTCCATATCATCTCTCCCACGCCATGTAGTCTCTTCATTTTGGAGTCCAGCTGGAAGTTTTTTTAAAATAAATCTTAGGGCAATTGTTACAGGGGAGAAGCAGAAGATTCTGTGGGACTGTCCCATTCCAATACAGTAAATCTAACCTCCAAGCCACCCTCTCCAATGCTACCAGTGTTGCAAGGACATTAGTGTCTCTATCTTACTCTTGCTCTCTTCTGATTTGGTTTGCATTAGAATTAAGAACTCCTTGTCTGGGTATTTTTCTATATTCTTTCTGATGAAAGAATGGGATCGTTTTATAAATATTGCAGATCAAAAATATTGGAGTGTGATTGTGCATTTGTCTTTGCTCCTTTTTCAGCAATCAGAAAAATCGCAGAGAGGGTTTTTCCAAAACTGGAATAGTTATAGCTCTGATAAAAGCTTGTCTGTGCAATGTAGCCTTGAATTCCTTCTTTGTCTTTTTCTTTGTGTGAAGGTATTGAACACAGTGGAACAGCAAGAGATTAGTACCAAGCCCTCCCCCGCTGTGGATGCTAGAAATAGCAGATAAATGTAGCACTTTCTTCCAGTTTCTCTTGTGTCGATGCATGGTCGAGAGAGGGAACCCTGGCCCAGTCTTGTCCAATGACTGGGTTCCCTGCCCTCCTATTTGCAAAGGAGCCTTTCCTGAAAGCACCAACTGCCACCTCCCCTTGCCCCACTTCGCAAATGTGACTTTTTCATTTCATTGGAAGCTGCTTCCCTTGGAGACATCAGGCCATGAGTGCATTTCTGTTAATCCACCTGTATATAGTGTAGTCTCTGGTTCCATCTAGTGGGGTAATAGAACTTGAGTATTTGTATTTCTCGGTTTTTAATTTTTTTACTTTTCAGGCAGCAGATAAGTGAAACCATGGATACTGATCCCGCTGATATGGCAGTCCTATTGTACTTGCAACAGAGGAGGTTTTAGATGCTTCTGCTCAGTCCTATAGTGCCTGACTTTGCTGGTCTCCCCTGCCCCCTTGGGGATGGGGCTGAGCCTTTAAGGTAGCTTAGGAGCATTCTTCCTCCAGCGTCATTTTGGTGGCAACTGCAGCAGTAGCAGTGAGTGAAATGCAACTCATTCTCAGAACATATTGTTGTTAGGCAACATACTGTGCTTTTAGCAAAGTCTGGAAACATTATTTTTGAACCCCTCGGGCAATACAGTCAGTGATTGGAGCTGCAGTCCAAAAATGATTTTTCCAGGTTCTGTTTCTTGGATACAAATCACTCTATACCTTTCCCTTTTCCAGGATTATCAGACTTGGCTTGATCTTCGGGAGTTTGAAACACGCATTGGAGAGCGTTACATTACCCACGAGAGTGATGATGCTCGTTGGGAAGAACATGCATATGAACACAATCTTGTATACCCCAAGCATTTCATTATGGCACCCAATCCAGATGACATGGAAGAAGATCCATAATTATCCTTTAGGGAAAGGCACATAATGTTATTTTGTTAGAGCAAGCGTTGCTCTTTTGCTCTTCTGGTTCAGTCTATGAAGCAGTGAAGGATCCTGCATCAGTCTGTTGGTGAACTAGATGATCTGGAAAAGTCTATCCACCTCTGGTTTCCATGAATATGAATGTGATCCAGCGCTGGGCTAAAAGCCATGAAGTTTTTGGGTGACACTGCCTTAATAGTACATCACAGTGATGTTACTGACAGCTGAAGTGCACACAGAATTAATGTTTGTGAATTTTCTGTATTTTTGTAGTTTACACAATAAGAAAACAATTTTAATGGTTTTCTAGTTCCTACCTATTAAGCCATAGAATACTATTTTCTGATATTTAGATAAATCTATTAGGAAGCTGTAAAGAAACCTGGAGTATATACCATGACCAAAAAATTACAAAAATGCTTGATTTTTAATTTTAATTTTTAATATCTATACAAAACACTGGCCAAATATTTATTTAGCAAACATGTCTTGAAAAAGCAATTAAGTGTGAGGGAAACCAATAATTTAATTGAGACAGTTCTAACAAGTCAAAGATTGGTCATTCAGCTTAATTCTTTAGTGTAATTACAGCAGTCTCTTAATGTATGGAGATACAGAGCAAGTATCTCCATATATTACACATGCAGACAAGCTATGATTTAGCAGTCACAGTTGTACTTGGAGAACAATAAACCAGAATGGATCATTTTATGTTGCAAATGTTAGTGTGAATCTAAAGTTTATGAAGGAATTGGTGCCTTCATTTTTCTGAAGGCCATACTCAAAAAGGTGTAATTTGCATGCTACTGGGGTAAAAAAAATCACACAATTGTTATGAGAATAGTTTATGCTGCTACACATGAATTGGGTTAGTTTAAAAGACTATGTCCTTTCTCCATCAGACACAGTACAGAAACAGTAACATTGAATGTCTGCTGTGTCTGTAATACCCTTATACCTTTTGCCTAGTCAGATAGTATATACCTGAGATCTCAGGTAGTTTAGCCTTTCTCCATAAATCATATGTAATGGGAAGTTTAGTCTTAGATATGTTGGATCCCTTGTAATATAAATGTTCACTATTGGTCTCGGAAAGTGATCCGTATGTATGCAGCAGCTTGGTCGAGAAGTAGCTTTACATTTTTGAAAGACTATGGCTAAACATTATATTTTACATAAATCTGAATGGATTCAAGTAACATTCTGTTGGGTCTTTGGTATCACGGGAGAAGAGATTGTATATTTTGAGGGAACGGGAGGTTGTCTCTTTCCTTTTGCTTCATTTACACCTTGGTAAGCAGTATAAACATAGGTGGCTTTTTACCCTCTTGATTAAGGCATTTATTTTGTGATTCCTGTAGTCCACGTTTCTACACAGTCACCTCTTAGGAAAACAGAAGCAACACTTCATTTCAGGAACAAAGGCACAGCCAAAGCCTTATGAATGGGGAAGGGAATGTTTCAGTTAAGCTTTGAAGCTCTGTAAGTAATACCTAATCATCTATGAATGCAGAGTGATGTCCAAAAAATGGTTCATCAGGTTAATAAGACCACAGCAGGGGAAGAAGAACTGGGTGTAGAAAAGTTAATACCGTATTTTTCACTCCATAAGATGCACCTTTCCATAAGACGCACCAATTTTTTAGGAGAAGAAAACAGGAAAATATAATCTGTTTTCTTCGCTCCGTAAGATGCACAGACTTTCCACCCCCCTGTTTTGTGGGAAAAAAGTGTGTCTTATGGTGCAAAAAATACGGTAATCTGTGTTCACATAGAAGTGTTTTATTCACTGGGATTATCTCAGTAAGAACAAAGAGTATGTTGTGCTTAAAGGTATCACCTTGTATCACTGTTTTGTAAGAAGGCTTATAGTCTCTCTAGTAGAAATGAGCCCAGGTAAAGTTTACATTGCTGTTGTCAATCCACTGAGAAAACGCCATCCACTAATGGAACAGATTTCCCTCTCTAGTGCAATCCAGACCCCTATCCCTGGATCAGTGCTGGGACAAATTCTCTTGGTGAAATTTGTTGGGATTTGCACAGGTAAATCTAAACCAGAGTTTAGTTCAATCTTTTCTTCCATTCTGTATAACTGTTCTATTAGATTATTGGACAACAAAATAATGAGTTTGGTTATGAAATTCACTCTTCCATGTGTGCAGACAAAACTTATTTTGTATGTTTCATTGCAACTTCTCTTGCAGCGGAGGTACTGCTAGAGCTAGCAAAAACCCCTTAAAAACATTTCAACACTGTGCACCTGCCTATATATATACAGAAAACTTGAGCCAGCATAGTTGTGCTAGCTGGAAATGAGGGGACTTCCAGTATAACAGATGTGGTTGGGGAAAGCTGATACTGTTTTGCATCATAACTTTGAAACTGCTGTTAAGTAGCCAATTTATTAAAGAACTGTATTTACAAACAAAATGTTTTGGCCACTGCTGTCTTCTTTGACAGCTGTTTCTCTTGTTAATGGGTCCAGACTAGAGTGGATAAAAATCAATGATTTTTCAAAAATCATCAAAATCAGATTAAATTTAAATCATGATATAAACTATGATAAGTTTGATTTAAATCAAATTGACTCTGGTCCAGAAACCCTGTAAGAACTCAAGATAATGATGTTCCAGGCAAGAGTTCCCTCTGAAATTAGATGCTTTTAATTGAGTGGCCTCTCATATCCTGCAATGGCCATTTCCCCCAAAAAAGAACCTGTGGAGGGTGGAGACCTCCTAAATATGTCAAAATTGCACCCCAAGGCCCTTGGAGAACCCAACAGGATTTTTAAAGCCCAGTTTTAAAGGGGGCTATAGAAGTGTTGGGAGGGCCCAGAGGTAGATGTGGCATGCACCTTGCTTACCCCTCCTCAAGGGGAACTTGTATTATCTATGATTTCTGTATGGTAGAGCTTTCAAATAATTAATTGGTGATCATGGTGGGCCTACAAGAAGCACTGGTTTTAGATACGCTTCACACATGTGAGAGTGAAATTAGGCCTGCAATTCCTTGCGTCATTGCAGGTGTATTCTGATGTCTTCTCTATGCATGAATTGGAATTTAATTTGTTCGTTTTATTTTAATATGATTTAGTTTGCATATTATCTCTGTGTTTGCTACCTATGATGAACTCTTAACTCATATGGCAATGAGCAAAACCACCCTTTATATAGGTTAGACAATCTACACTACGGATGAGTTTATGCTGACATCAGATGATTAAGGAGCCAGTCTGGGGGGTAGGATAGGAATTTATCCATGGTGGTAGCATATAAAAGTTGAAAAGCTCTAGCAAACTGACCAGTGAATTTCAGTCATTTCCTATGGCTCCCCCTACTCATGTGAGTTGTTAGAACTTTGATTTTTGCAATATAGGCCAAAATCCAAAAGCAAGTTGCAACAATAAAAGTCCCATTGAATTACTGAGGATTTAGTGAGTCAACTCCATAAGTTCCACTGATTAAATGGACCCACACTACTTGCAACTTACTACTGGATTTCAAACTCAGAGTTGGAACTTAGGTAAAGTTCCAGGGAGGTGGGTGGACAATTCTGTGCAGTAACACTGTTTCTTGAAAATTGAGAGAGCAATCAAAGTGGAAGAAACTTTTCCTGAAAATACTGGTTCCAAAATGGTGAGTCAAGATTATGTACCAGATTGTCCTTATAAATTGGAACATTAAAATGTCAAGAAATGTATTCATAACAAAACCTGGTAAATGGCCTTATTTTATTCTCTCCTGATTGAAGATTGTTGTAATATTATTGTCATCTGCTAGCTGGCACTAGTGTCAGGGATGTCACTGGAAAGACATAATCCTCTCAGAAGAGGATAAAACGGTTTTGAAATAATTGAAAGCAATTATCTTTAAACCACTCCCAGTCATGTTTGAAGTCAGCTTTTGAAAATTATTTTGGAATTGTTCTGTATTTATGGGATAGGTTTGAACATTAATAGTATCTGTGGGGGAAAAACTAATAGTTATGCCACAGTGAAAGGTATTTGCTATACATGAAAGCATTCATTGGAGTTTTGTTTTCCCCATTAAGTCTTTATAAGCCTATGCAGCAACAGGACATTAAAAGTGCTATCACATATTTACTCAGAAATCAGTTTCACTGAGTTCAATGGGGCTTCCTTCCAGGTAAAATGCATGTATAGGATCACAGCCTTAAGATGATTTTCAGTACTGAATGACCATAGCAGCAAAACAAGTCAAGAGGATAATTGCAAGGCATGTTTGAATTAATTTTAGGCTTTAGGATAGCAGTATTGTGGACCAGTAGAGTAGGAATACAAACCCTATTGTGGCTAAGAAGAGAAATAACTGGAATGTTTCTACTCTGTCATAGCTATTAAACATACTTCACGAACTATGAATAAAGTTGAATACCTTACATTCTAACTTTCCCATGGATGCCTAAAATAGTATTAAATCAAAATTTTAAGTCACTGAAAGGTTGGCATTAATCAGTTGCTCCAGATGAATTTATACCCAGTGTTGCATTACCTGTAATCTTTGTTTTTAAGTTTCATTCATTGCAAAAATAGTGCTGTACTGATACTAGAAGATGCTCATGTAAAACTTGTAGTCTCAAAAGGGCACTGACAAGTACTTTTTTATATTTTTATATGTCCCATTGTTTGTAAATATCCTCTAAGCTTGAAAATAAAATTTATTTCCCTATCCTGAATGTTCTTTTTCATTGCTTTAAGCTTTCTTGGAATGTTGGCAATCATGTATCAGAATTCCTTACATCTGTGATGCTACAGAAGTTTATTATTTGTTTTTAAAGCAACATTAGAGCTCTGTTGTATCAGTTACTAATATTAATAATATGTTGCTAATGAACTGTTTCTCAGGCAATGTTAGTGCTCTCACAAAAGCCTTCTACCACCTAGAGCACTTAATTTTATTTATTTATTTATTTATTGGACTTATATACTGCCCCATAGCGCTCCAAGCACTCTCCGGGCGGTTTACAATTTTTTTTAAATTATACAGGCTACACATTGCCCCCCCCCCCAGCAAGCTGGGTACTCATTTTACCGACCTTGGAAGGATGAAAGGCTGAGTCAACCTTGAGCGGGCTACCTGGGATTTGAACCCCAGGTCGTGAGCACAGTTTTAGCTGCAGTACAGCGTTTTAACCACTGCGCCACGAGGCTCCTCTGAGTGGTTTATAATTATTTATTTATTTTATTTTATTTATTTAACTTCTGTGCCGCCAATAATACCCAAAGGTCTCCGGGTGGCTTACAACAATTTAAATATATAAAGATAAAAGAATTAAAATACAGTAATCTAAAAATTGCCACCAGGACCCACAGTTGATAATATTTCAATTAAAAATGTTTTGGAACCGGAAGTTTTTGACCTGCCGCTGAAACGTCGTTGGTGCCAGACGAATCTCATTAGGGATGGCGTTGCATAGTCGGGGCAGCTGCCGAAAAGACCTTTTGTCTACAAGTTATCTGTGGGAAACTTCTGCCCAAGGTCGTTAGCTGCATTCCTGTTTCAGAGAGTGCACACACTCCCGGCAGAGAGTGGCGGCTCTCAGTGGGTGGGGTAACCTCTCATTCTGCCCTTTTGCTTAGAGCTAGAGCATAAGTTCAAAGAGTTTTTTCAGCCAATCCTAGTGGTGATTAGGTAACTGGTATCCTATCTGAATTCTCACAACATATTATGTAATTAAAAGTTCTCAAGGTGTTGCTTGAGGCTCTGGGCATCTGTTGTCGAACACTTCTTTGTAATTTTTCTGAAGGCTAATTGCCTTCCCTTTGTTCCGTGATCACCCACAATCATCCCTCTTACTTCCTTGAGGGATGGCTCTTTCAGAAGGGCCCCCTGGCTAGATCTTAATTGCCAGGTAGGTTCATATGGAAGGAGCTGGTCCTTCAGGTATCCAGGGCCCAAGCCAGTGACTGACAGCCAATGTAATTTGAACAGAATTGCCCTGATGTGTTCCCTAGTGGCCCCACCACTCACAAGCTGTGCAGCTCGATTCTGAACCAGTTGCAGTCACAAGACTATCTTCAAAGGCAGCCCCATGTACAGTGCATTGCAGTAATCATATGCGTAACTGTCATGAGACTTTGCTTGTCCACGTAGGGCCATAGCTGGTATTTCTGCAACTGAAGGAAGATGCCCCTGGCCACCAAGTCCACCTGGGCTTCCAGAGTTAGACTGGGATCCAGTAGCACTCGCATTCTGCGGACCCTATCCTTTAGGGGGAGTGCAACCCCATTCAGGGCAGGGAAATGGCCATGTGGCCTCAATGCAGGCTACACGTTGTTGTCTCCCCGTCCTCCTGAATTGGGTATTCATTACTGATCTCGGAGCGATGGAAGTCTGAGTCGACCTTGAGCCAGTGACCTGCGCCCATCAGGACTGAACTCAGGTCATGAGCAGAATCTTTGCTTCAGTACTGCAGTTTAACCACTGCAATACAAGACTCCTCCATTCAGCATGGACCTCATGTCCCTTTGGCACTCAAAGGATAGTTTGCTCTCCTTTAGCTTGTCAACTTTTCTGCTGCTGCTTGTCTAACTGCTGGGGCTGTTTGAAGTTTTAAATCTCAAATGACAACTACCATTGTTTGTAAACAGCTGACCTGCAAATATTTGCCCAGGTTTGGTCTTTATGCAGATGGAATGCTTGTGGCTCAATGAATGTTCAACCCCAATGAAGTTTATATAGCATGTCTGTATTGTTACTGACTGTTTAGGATTATTTCTGTATTAGGACAGAATCTTCTTGTTAGAGGCAAACAAACTGACACTATGTATTACACTAAATGTTACAACTATTTCACTTTCTGCTCCAATGAAATTATAAACACACTACATGTCTAATGCACCAAACCAGCAGAGAGGTCTACTGTTGAAAAATGAGATGGTCCTCAATTTGCACCATGCCTATATATATATATAAAGAAAATTTGAACCAAAGGTCAATATTAGATAGGTCATAAATAAAACTACACAAACTTGCAGATGTTACTCTGGAGGTAAGAAGTGAGGCCTTTAATAAGTGTGAATATATTTTACAGTACAGGATTAAGTAGACAGAAAAATAAATTAAGATGCATTTTTTCTTACCCAGAATGTGGTGTGTGTCCTCCCCCACAGGAGTTACTGTCACCTTTTAGTTCTATTAGAACTGTAGTTTTCTCTTCTGGCTGCATGTTACATGTACTTGACATAACTAGCCACATTCATAATTTTACTTGAAATCAGTAAAACAGTACCATTAACTTGTTTCCCCAGTGGAACATGATGGGAAATCTGCATCTTTTCACACAACATGCCGAATAGGCTTCATTTCAATGTAAGTTCACCAAAGCCAGCAACAGCTGCTGAAACAGATGAGTGTTCTGGTTTCATTACCTGGTCTGAAGGCCTAAGTCTGCAATGAGGTAACATGGCAAAAAATTTGAAGCATCCTCCCATTTTGTCCAGGTCCATGAGCATTTCATAACTTCGGAGGAGCTGATTCCGAGTATGCACATCATTAGCATTCTGCAATAGTACCTAATGAAAAAATGAACCAGTGTACACTGAATACAAGATCTACTAGTTAATGTTCAATTCTTCATTTACCTGTACTCTCCCATAACTTCCCAATTTCTTCTTAAGGTCATACACTTCAGCTGTCTGCTGATCTATTAGAGATGGAGCCTTCCATGCCTAAATGAAAGACCCAAAACAGAAAACATGCTCTCTTCAGTGTAATCTGTGTTCTTCTGGTAACTGCTGAAAGAGAGCCTCTAACATCTTATGGCACTGTTATTTTGCTGCCTGTCTTCTTTGCTTATTTCTAGGGATAGTTTAGTACTTTATAGTGGATTCTATAATTAAATTTTCTTTATATTTGTTTTGTTTTACCCCTCCCAGAGTAGTGATTTTGCTAGATGGGCGGTATAAAAATTGAATAAATAGATGAATTTTAAAAACCTGACTGATTTTATATTTATGAAAAAAATCTACACAATGTTGTTTCTTTCATGTTAACCCTTTCATGCACACTTGCAGTGCCTTCTCATCCTTTGTCAAATTACCTGATTTTATTTTATTTTTAAATAGCATTGTGAGGGCTGTCAGGAGCTGATCAGAATGTCCAGGAAGAGTAGGAATTTTGAATCTGCAAAATGGCATGGACTGGTTGGAACCCAGTGAAGAGTGCTCTTCAGTTATTTCTTATGGAACTATTTGTGTGCTGAAATCCTGGTTCTTCCCTCTTGGATCCCTTTGTTTTTAGCCTTTTTTCTTTATTTGCAGTGTGTGCGTGTGTGGGAGGGGAATTTCTCCTAATTTCTTTGTTATTTAGGTAATTTACTGTGTGTACATTTATTTTTAGTATATATGTGAAAAACTGAATGCATGAAGTATTAAAATGATGGTGGTGTAGAAAAATCAGTCCTGAAAATATATATTGTGTTTTTAAATGGTGGTTTGAACAACAGCTTACTAAAAGTCACTGGAAAACAGTCAGCTAGCTCTACTGCTGAGTCTGGAAGCAAGGGTACTGTACAACAACGTTTTGCAGAAGAATCTCTTTCATTCCTCACAGCTGGATGTATATGCAAATGAATAATTGTATTAAAAGAGTATTGAAATTGGTTTGTACAATGTAAAATGTTGCAATGTGCTAACATGAACAGCAGGCGGATGTTAGCAGATTCAGTAACTTGCTCTGCCTCTCTTTTACTCCTTTAGTGATTTACACCCAGTGTAATTTGCTGGCTTCCCAAATGTTAATAAAAATAATAACACTTATTGTCATGGTGGCACTTGCTGGCTTCCCAAATTAATAAAAATAGTAACACTTATTGTCATGGTGGCAGCTTGCAAGATTTTGATTTAGAAGAACTGTATTTTACAGGAGTTGTAAAAGCAATAGAAATGCCCATTATACATTTTTTGATAGTGTATCAAGTCCCTGTAAATTACTACACTGATGAAAGTCAGTTATGTACGGTTGAAGGGAATTGTAACATCTGAGAGAAATATAAACATAGGGAGGCAGGACACATGCACAACACACTATGCCACACACACCAAGTACCAACAGTGCTGATAAAAGGGAGTGTCAGACATCATGGTAGCAAGAGCAACAGCAGACAAGAACAACATGGATTTTCCTACATTCAAACTGGCTTGGCTGGATGAATAGTTTTTTCTGTGTGTTCTTATAATATTGCTTAAAGACTAAGAAATTATTTTTCTTTAATATATTATCACATTCAAAAATTTTGATATTTTAAGAGATGTATTTTCTACTTTTTGATTGTGCCCTTTTTAGCTATAAGCTCTTGCATTTTTAGAATGTAATGCAAACATTCTTTTTGGTATTTCATTGTACTTTTTATCCTCCTGTATTTTTGAGCAACTTAAGTTACATTTGCACATATTCTTTAAGCATTTGTACCTACAATTTTCCATAGCTGTAAGACTTTTTGGATGTTTTCAAAAACTTTGAAATTTTTTTCTGCATATAGAATAAAGAAGCAATATAGATAATTAAAGCTTGTGGCCTGAAATCATTGCAATGATGAAAAGACGTATACTTTATTGCCAGATGAATTTTGATTGTTGGAAACAGTTGTCTGATTTCATTTAGGAATTAACCCTAAATGGAGTAAATGCTAGCTGTAATGAAAAAAGGTTTCTGATTTTTTCGTAGAATTTCCTATAAATATAGGGTTCTTAGGAAGATGTTCAGGCATCAGACCCTCTGACTTGACAGGTGTATATTTTGATAGAGATTGCTTTGTTTGCTTCGGGGGGGGGGCTGATGATATGATGTGATAATATAAACTAGTGCCTGCATAGTCTGATGATGACTTTCTAATATGTTGCCTGCTGCTGCTGATGAAAAATATGATAATATAATTTAGTTCCTACATATGTCTGATGATTCCCCCCAAATACTGTTGCCTGCTTTTGTAGTAGCTTGATATTTTGTTGCCAGGCCTCTGTGTTCCTGGACTGTTTTTTAAAAGAGTTGCATATGGCTTTTGGAGTGATGTAAAACATAAATAGGAAACCCAAAAATGGCTTTCCTTTTTGTGTAAAATGAAAGGACTGGTGCATGAAAAATATGAAGACAAAAGAGCCACTCAGAAAGAACCAAACAAAGAAATATGAAAAATTTTTGCCATGTAGATTCCTAAATGGTACAATACAAAATCAACACAGGTTCTGTTTTTATTGTAATATGAATCAAATAATACAGAAACTTATACTCAGTAGGACCAGTTTGCAAATAAACAATAGATTTTAAAAAGTGACTCCTACCTGTAGCCTGATATCAATGCCCATGTTCCTCAAAAAATCCTGTTGCTTTATGGGACCCAGAGTAGCTACTCTTCCTTGTGCTATTCTTTGCAGGTAACTGAAGTCAACATCTGCTGTGAGATCTGCTGTTCCTGGTGATATTAACACATCATGAAGTTTATGGCCACGAAATCCCTGAAAAACATGAAGTCGAATGGATATTTATTCAGCTCAACAGGCTGTTAGTCTTTCAGGCTGTAGATTAGAAAGACATACAAGATGAAAGGTCATCTTTGTGTGTAAAATGGATTATTCAACAAGGAGAGGCATGTTTATCTGCTTAAGCAACTGCTTGGCTAATCCTTCCAGCACCTCTTTTAAGTGTGAATTAGTGACACTGGCAACAAAGTGGAACAAATATGGATATTTGTATTTCATTTTCCAAAAGCTACTTCTTAGAGAGTGAGAATGCTGTTTCCTATTGTCTCCCCCCTGCTTTTTTTAAAACCCAGTTTCTTTGTCAGATCCCCATCACACACCCAAATTATCTTTATCCTGCAGGATGTTTATATGAAGAACCTACTCTAAAAGTATCAGTTTTTGTTCCATCATGGCCATAATCTACAATTAATGCAGCTCCCCCATTCTCTTCAATATTCTGGGCTAGCTTCTGGATGATGATACCAGCATCAGGACACACTTCCACATGGTTTCTTGATTCTTCATCCTAAAACAGAGTTAGGGGGTTAAGCAGAAAATAGTGTTGATGTTCCATAAATAAGTAGTGATAAATAATAAACAAATATTCTGATGAAAGCAAAGTATGCTAATTAATTATATACATCATATTTTGCAATGAAATGAGAAGTTTGTCTCTCTCCTTTCCAAAAACAAAACGGGGATCTAGTCTTCCCCTGTCTTTTTTGCATAATGCATAAAATAAACTTTATCAAAGGCCTAAATCTAACAAAACAACAGTGCAATGGCACTACTGCAATTTGAACTTCACTCTGCGATACCTAAAAGCCACCTCTCTTAAGCTGTCTTTTGGGCATTGGGGGCTGCACTGGACAGGAGAAATTGCCCTCCTCCCACTTCTATTGGACTCTATGGTTGATGGATCCAAACCAAAATCTATGGATAAGTAAATCTGGAACAATAAGCACATTTTGGAAAGTGGTGGGTGCTTCAACATAAGTACCTCAATGGCCTCCAGCTTGATGGAGAGGATTATATAACCCGGAAAAGCAATGACAAAATCAGAAACCTACATGTATGAAAGCCTTTGTAGCTGGAGTTATGGATGGTGCAAGGACAAATCGCAGCTTGTCAGGAGCTCCTGGATCAATGTCGACCAACAACTCATGCCATCCCTTTTCTGTTTTCTGTTAATTTAAAACAGAATAAGGATCTATTGAATAGAGGCATTTAGAACATTTGATCTTGTATGTAGATTAAACAAAAGCAATTCTCCCAATAAACTGTTAATCTTCAGTCACTTGTTAAAGGTCTTTAAAGGCCAGATTGTGATGCACTAGTTTGTAAAAATAATCATGTGCCGCCAAGTCAGTTCTGATTTATGGCAACAATTTTCAGGGTTTTCCAGATAAAGATTACTCTAACATGGTTTGCCATTCCCTTCCTTTGGGGTTGTTCTGGGACTGTGCCTGCTTCTAGATTTCATTGGTGCAGACAGACATTTACCGGTTTCGGTCTCACCCATGGTAACCCCAATCAGGAGGCACTGACTTCTCTGCTGCCATTACCTTTGGTGCCAGAATGTATTTAAATTTAATTTCTCAAGAATTCACTCTAGGATGCTTCAGAAATAGGTTTCACTTTCACTTCTTCCTTTAGCAAGCACAAATCTAACCCTTTGCTTTCTAATCTATAGGCATAAATGGGACTCCAGATACTAAGAATTATTAATACAGATATTCAGAACTATCAAATTTGGATTCAAATATATTCAGAATTATCTGAATATAGTACTATTCAGTGAATTCCAAATATTTCCAAATCCAAATGCATACCCCTACTATGTGGTGTTTGTTGGCTTATTGCCTAATGGTCAATATTTTTATTTCTAGAGCTCTAACCACCAACTCTACTCATGCTAGAATGAGACACAACTGAAAAAATATGTACTTAAAATGCCAGAAGTGAAAATGACCTTGTAAAATGTAATTTACATCCTTCAATTTTTCTACATATTTACAGATGCTTAGCCCAGAACCCATCTTTCTTCTTCGTGGTCTCTGTGAATGCACACGAATGAGTTTACTCGTACCTGTGCAGAGTGATCTCGGAACCTTCTAGCATGGTGCTGGGACCTCCCTCATGCTGCCTGTAACCCTGCCCTGGCACCGAGTGCCTCAGTTCCATTGCTGCTGCCACTGCTGCAGCATCTCTGAGCCTTCGGGTAGTTTTTCCCCCCCCATTCCTCGTTCTACTGGTCAACTTCCCGGTTTTTACAACTTCGGACTGTTTCATTTGGTTTCGTGAGTTGGCAAAGAAAGCATATAACTGGCTTATCTTTTTGTCTCTGTTTGTGGACTTGTTTATGGCCTCATCAGGCCCCTTCAAACGTTGCTCCTCTTGTCCGAATAAAGTCCCCCTTTCGGGGGGTGTTTATTTTGTTTAGGTGAGGAGCACCAGCCAGCTTTGTGTGCTGTTTATAAAGGTTTTACCAAACTGGCTTTAAAACAGAGGCCCCAGTGTTTGCGCTCCTTTTTGTGGGGAAAATTTATTTGCCTGTCCCGGCAAACCATGCAAAGTCACTCATGGAGCTGCCACAGTCTGTGCAGACCAACACATCGTCGGCTGCAGCCTCTTCGCCCAAACAGGCTAAAAAAATCAGTGAAAACATCTTCTTTGGGCTAGAAGTCGATGCCCTCGGCTTCAATGCTGAAAAAGAAGAAGAAATTGCCCCAGGACCCCTTAGGCGCATTGTCTGCTGCCTTGCATTCTCCGCCACCTCGACCGCGAAGAGACTCTTTGGGCAGAAGTGGCCATCTGGAGATGAGGATGTGTAGGGCTCCAGGCCACCAGTCACACCATCTCTGTGCCTGTCCCTTTCCCCGGATTGGATGGACACCTCTGTGGAGGTTTAATTGGTGGCACAAATTAGCCCTGGCTCTATACTGGGCTCGATGTCAAGACATGTGTCTCCATCTCCACCAGCATCTCTGGTGGACATGCCTAAGAAAAAGAGGCAAAAGATGAGGCATCTGGAACTGGTGCCCAAGCCCAAGCAATATCACCACCGGTGCCTCTGGCTGGAGGATGTTTCTCCCCATCAAGACTGTTCCGGATCTCGCTGGGAAGATTATGAAACTTTTCCTCAAGCCCGACAACTTCGGATTTGTCCAGCATCGATATCAGGTGCCTTATGACCCTGACGCACCTTTCCTTCAATTTCACCCAGACAAGGTGACCCTGTTCCCTGACCTTTCTTTCCTTCCTAAGGTGGCCTCAAATTTTCACCTAAACCAGCCAATAGTGCTGCCAACATTCTTTCCATCCCCCACCTCTAGCCTGGAGTGGGCTCTCCACTCTCTGGACATTAAGAGAGCCCTTGCGTACTATGTCTCTCACTCTTCTGCCTTCCACTCATCCCAGCGTTTGTCTCCTTCCATGGACGGTCAAGGGGATCTCTAGTCACTCCACAAACCATTTCTTGGTGGACACTTTCCACAATCCATCTGGCTTATAAATTAGCCAAGACTCTCCTACCATGTACTGTACGAGCCCATTCCACCAGGGCTGTGGCTTCCTCTATGGCCTTCCTCAGAGGAGAGGATAGACATCTGTAAAGCAGCCACATGGGCCACACTATCCACATTTGCAGCTCACTATCACTTGGACATCCAAGCTAAGGACGAGGCTACTGTGTGCTGTGCTGTACTAGCATCTGTTCTTTCGTGACACCCTGCCACCTGGTAGGTAAGCTTGTTAAACACCCATTAGTGTCCATTCAAAGAGACCACGAGAAAGGGAAAAAAGGGTTACTTACTTGTAACTTTGGTTCTTTGAGTGGTCATCTGTGAATTCACACTTCCCGCCCTTCCTTCCCGCTAGCCGTCATGTGTGCCTCACAGCATGCTGTGTAGCAGCGGACAGTCCTACAGAACTGAGGCATTCGGTGCCGGGGCGAGCTTATTGGCAGCATGGGAGAGGTCCTGGCACCATGTGCTTGAGCTCTAGAAGGTTTTGAGATCACTTTGCGCAGGTGCGAGTTAACCCATTAGTGTTAATTCACAGATGACCACTCGAAGAACCAAAGTTACAGGTAAGTAACCATTTTTTCTAATTCCTGTAAGAAACAAGCATGAAAGGTGAATACTGTAGAAAATATTTCATCCATTTGCATATTGGACAAATCATTATCTTTAAAGTTCCTATCAACAAAATTATGGATGAATAGCACTCTTAAACGCTTACAAAAACTTCATTTTTTCCATCCAGAACTTCCTTTCTGATCTAGCAAGATTTTTTTTTCAAGTAAGCTGCAACCAGATGGTCTCACATATATTCCCAAAGGGGGCTCAAACCATTGCCAATGGTATTTTCCCCCCACAGACGGAAAACAATTTCTTTTTGACTACAGAACTCAGAATTCCACAATCAGCATGAAGTCACAATGCTGGCTACAGGACTCTGTGAACGATGGTCCAAAAAAGTAACCATTTCCTTTTCTTTTTGCCATATAGTTGATATTGGCTGCCTCAATTGTTCATAATGAAGAGCAGATCTGAAAAGGCATTCCTTTAGTAGACCTCGATCTGGAGTTCATCAAATCCTGGACTAAACTTCAAAACACAACCAGGTTGTTTGGGATGTCAAAAGAAGCAGCCTCAAAATAAGCAAGAAAAGGGGCAGGTATAAGTAGTGGTTAACATAATGACAGAAAAATGTAGCAGTGATTTTGTTTGTCCTACAATGCAGCATCTGTGGGATTTTGACATTGTTTGGAATTCAGAATTTGTAATGATTTAATTTTTGTAAGTATATGTAACTTAATGGCATAGTATATTGTTTTATGTTTTAACAGCTGTGGGATCATTAAGACCACACACAGAGTTCTTGTATGTTGATATGCTTTAAATTATTAAATCCCATGACTTCAGCACATCTGTACTGTTACAGCAAAATGGAAGGTCTAAACCGGAAGTATGATTAAAAAAAACACAACCATTCAAATAGTGCCAAACTTAATATCTCTTCCGGTTATTCTGTCTTTGAATAAAACTGCTTTCTTGGGATACATTTTAGCCCCAAACTGGATAGATGCAATATTTTTTCTCAACAGAATTACCCCTAAACATACAGAACTATTCTATATACTATGTCAATTGTAAACATGCTATTCTTTTCAGTTGGTTCTATTCTTGTTATGTTTCTATATGGTAAAATCCTTAAGTAAAGTCAATGACAACTTATGATCATACCTGAAATTTATGTATAGGTAGAGCATCAAGAAATTCATGAGCTAAATAAAAACTGTTGCCTAGGGAGAAAAATAAAGCATTAATCAAGTTCTGGTAATAAAAACTAGCAATTCCCACCTTCATACTTTATTCACTATAATCTTTAAGGACTACTGTATCTGATATCTGTTTAATATAGATTATGGGGCTCAAGATTAAAAATGGCAATCTTTTAAACTGCATTAAAGTTTTGCTTCCAACCTATCTAAATTAATTAAAAGTCTGAGCAGAACTAGATCTATACTTATCTTATTCACATAAATTTCTACCTCAAATTCAAAATTGTTCTTAATTCTAGGAGTTATTACTGGACATATAATTAACTAAGCTCTGCACCATGAAAATCTTACCTCCTGGCACATCATTTAAGTTTCTGTACCAGAAAATTGGCAGTCCTGTCTTTGTAATGCCTTGCATGTAAGCAGTGGAGCTCTCTTGTAATTTTGTGTTTTCTTCTGTTAGTACTGATGCTTGAATCTCACTTAACTTGGGACTAACCTCCATCAAATGAATGGAAATTTCACATTTACTAAGTAAAGAGTTCAGCTGCTTAAAAACCTGTAAACACAAGACAATATCATTAGAACTTGTTAGGTGTAATGATTCACAGAATTTTTAAGTAGTTCTTAGGAATAAAACACTAATCATAGTTTAATTATTTGGATAAACTATTTTTCAAATAAAACTAAGAGTATTTTTCAAGTTCAAATGGTAACTGCCATATCAAATACTTTGGAAGCATGATTAAACATTGACTTTATTCCAGAACAGCAAGTACATGTACTTGCCTTCCAAACCAGCAAGTACAAGCTGGAGCCAAAAGCCTGTTCAGAATCAATGAGATGTAGGCAGAACATCTAAATATCCAGGAGGCTACACATGTGTCACATTAAAACAGTTCTATCTTCTGTTGGTAACTTATACAAAGTTCTGGGAATCTAAAGTAAGAATACACTATACAATGCAAGGTGAAAAAGACAGCTTGTACTTACCCGTAAAATATCACTAGTAAGGCTCCCTCTACCTGGGCCCAATTCCACCAGCTGAAATCTTTTTGGTTTACCACTGGCTATCCATTCGCTAACAAACCAAATACCTATTAACTGCAAAACATAAAAGAGTTGTAATTTATCTTTCTTCCATCGTATACACAAATTGATATGTATATTAGGATTTCCCAGTGAGCAACAGGGCAGCTTCCTTTTTTAATAGGAAGCTAGGCTAGAGTTAGGCCTATTCTAGGCTATGAAGTCTTTGAGCTAGGACTTTTTGAGTATTTTATAGCTAGGAAACCCTAGCAGTGGTTGCTATAAGTTGGAATTGATTTGGCAGCATATAACTGCTACTGAAAACTCACACTGATAGAACTATAACTTTCTAATCTGTATCTATTTTGTAGTAAAATGATAATGATGGTGATAAAAATAACATTAACAACAATTTGTATACCCGTTTTGCAGATAGTTGTGCTCAGTATCTCACAATAGAAAAACAGCAATCCAGTAACAGGAACACATATCAAACCAACATTACAACAGTATATTACAAACATATTTTGGCATATTATGTAACAGTCCAAACAAACAATGACCAAAACTGCGTTGCTTAATGTAATAAATTGCTCCAGGGCATACTCATTGGAACTAATGAAATTGACTTATTAAATTTCCTTTGATTCAATGGGTCTACTCTAGTGCAATTTACTACAACAAGCAGCACAATTTTGGCAAACATATTAGTTTGATTACACTAATAATAGAATAGTCTCAAATTCACTATAAGACATTGGCTACTATCCTGTTGTGCAGTTCCATCTGTGTAACGAGAGCGATGTTATGTACCTTTTATAATTTTGGGGTACACATTCATATTATTGGGGGTGAGTCAGGCACACTTCAAAATCAAAAAGGGATTTTTTTTTAATGAGTGGCAATCTGTCACTGCCAGAGGCATCACTACTGTTGCATAGTTCCAATAGGAGACTGGGTAGACAGTATCAAGAAACACTATATTGTATCAGCTTCTCAGTTCTTAGAGTACATCAGCCAGTCCATGATTTGTGGAAACATTTGAGTGCTGTTAAATATTAGTAAATAATATAATAAAATAATATAATGAGGAACCAATGCTCCAAAATGCCATGGCGAGAAAGAACAAGCCAGATTTTTTACAATAGTGTTAGAGGAGAGTGACAAGCCCTTCTGTGGGTGTTTTCTATACAGTGGTGCCTCGCTTAACGAGCGCACCGTTTAATGACGAATCCGCATAGCGATCTATTTTTTTTAGATTGCTAATGCGATCGCATAGCGATGTTCTGAATAGGCAAAACATCGCATTGCGATGTTTTTTTACAGCTGATCGGTGGTTCCAAAATGGCCGCCAGGTGCCCAAAATGGCCGCCGCAAGTGTTTTCGCGCCTTGCCCTCACTTACCGAGGGCGCGAAAATGGCGCCGCTATGGAGGAACTTCGCTGAACGGGGAGTTTGGGAGCCATAGGAATGCATTAAATGAAGTTTAATGCGTTCCTATGGCTTTTTCTGTTCCATTTAGCGATGTTTCCGTATAGTGACGATTAATCTGGAACGGATTAACATCGCTATGCGGGGCACCACTGTATGTAGAAAACAACATATCTACAGAGAAGAAGTACTTGCTTCAAGGTAGGCTCTATATGTGAGTAAGAACCCTGTAAAATCAAGGTTGTTGCACACTTGAAAAGCCTTGATGCAAGTGGGAACCTCAGCTCAGCAGATTCATCACTTCCAATGTGAAGAAAGCAAAAGAGGGGAAGGAGCAAGATGGTCTGCTCCATGTGTGGTGAGTATACTGTACTTGTGAAAGTGAGGTCTGAATAGGGCTAAGGACTGCTGGATATTGAGGAATCAGATCCAGCACTGAGGAGAGGCATCTTTAAAAAATGGAAACTGAATATCAGGCAATCATTTTTGATCCTTTAGAAGACTTAATTGTGATGAAGGAGGAGCATGCAAATCTTAATAGATTAAAGGCTTGAACTTTAAGCAATGTCATAAAAATAACCATATTTCACCAGAACCTAAAAAACTATATGCTCATGACACATATGAGAATAACACTTAAATTTTAAGACTTAATTGTACAGACCTCTCCAAAGATTTGACTTATTTCAGGTGAAGTTACAAAATCTCCTTTTTCTCCCAGCATGTCATGGTGCATATAATATCCCTATGGAGAAACAACAACTGATTAACATATGCCTTCTTTCTCTTCCACTGAAGTACTTAATTTGTGATAATGTTCACTTGGTAGCCTGCTTCAACACCAAAGCTGTTTTAATTAAAAGAAACAACTCTGAAAAAGTCTAAAAAGTTAAACTGTTCAACATCTTTTAAAAATGGACTTTCTGACAGACCCATCCATACCTTCACAGGATTAGTTAACACTTCACGCATGTATTCAGCAACTGTAATAGGACCAGTTGACTTTATTTTCATTATAAGATGTTTCAACATTGGAGATACTGGATTTTCTGCTGTTTTATTTTCTGAACTAAAGTGCTGGAATCGCAAAATGGTGGAAGAACCTGTGTAAAAACATAAGATCAGTCATCTCAACTGGTCTATCAGAATGAAAAGTCTCTCTCAAAGTGCCCAATACTCCCTCTTTCTAAAGAAACAACTATTAAAAATACATATTTGTAAATTTGAGATATTGCTAAGATTTTTACCAATATGACCATAAACACATTTATGATCAAAGTACAACTGAGGCACCAGCTTAGTTTTACTGACTTCAAAGGCAACATACCACTTTGTTCAATTTTGCACAGTTCTCAAATGTTATATACAGGATGCCACAAGTAATCTGTATTGTTGTGTATCAGAGGTAGCGCTGGTATCCCATCAGAATAGAAAGAATGGCACTGGCTACCAGGTTGTTCTAAGATCTGTGCTGCTTCTGGATGTCATAGGCTTGTTTGAGTAATCTTATGCTGGTTGTTGCTGTCTTCATAATTATGTGCCATCAAGTCAATTCTGACTTATGGCAACCCCTTCCAGGATTTTCTAGCTTCAGAGTATTCAGTAGTGGTTTACTATTCCTTTCTTCAGGGGATTCTCTGAGAGTGCAGTTTGCCCATGGCTACACAGGCTGGCTCCTCTACTGACACAGAGGGGAATTAAACTCTTCCAGTCTCTGTCTCCACAGCTAGATATCTAACTAGGAGGAAGGAAAGCGTCTCCCTACAGATCACATTTCTGGCAGAAGACATTATCGTTGAAGGCTGGCCATCATCCACTGCCTTATGTTCAGCTTGAATGCCTCTGTACATTTGTACAGCAGAAGGATCTAGACTACAGTGCCCATTGTTTGGCAGTCAGAGCCAAATTAAAACGTGCTGAACTCCTGCCCTATGTCAAATGAAAGGCACTGCATAGGATTAACAAAGGAATAAATTGTTCTAACTGTACTATATCAGCAATGAGGTAAAACTTCAAAATTTGTTTAAAAAAATATGTCGAGGTCCCTCATAATCTGAGGTCCCAAATTTTAGCTAATTTAGCCAGTACGCCATTCTGGATTTTTAAAATTCTTTTCCTCTCTCACTTATTACATAGTGGCCAGAATTAAAAATCCAATTTAAATTCAAAACATCAATGATATGTTCTGTTTTTCTAAAAAAAGCACTGATGTTTCTACCCACACTGACTAGTAATAAGTTAGTCTAGGCACTCTTTTCTTCTGTTGATTTCTCCTGCTACCTCCTTTGGTTTCAATGGGGCAGACCTACACAATCTGAAAGCAGGTGTTTTGCAGTGGGAGAAGTTTCTCTGTAAACTACAATCTCCCAAGCTTCTGTTATCTTCTCCTAACCAGTAGCTGCCCAGACTTCCATAACACTGGTCCTATTTCTCACTGCACACATGTATCCTCCTTGCCAATCAGTGACAAAAGCAAGTAACAAGAATCTCCACTGAGAAGGTAAGTGACCTGAGGAAAGTGGGACCACCCTAGGAGAGGCGCCCTTCAAAGGCATCTTGCCAACAGGTCCTTCGGTATGTTGAGCTGACTCTGGCACCCCATAATACTCTGGGAGGAACCGGAAGTTTTGTTCTGAGCGGCTTGCATTGCTGCTATGACCCACGGTGATGATGAAAGAAAAATGCTCTGCACATGTTCAGAGACCTTTGAACTTTCAGTTAACTGTTGGCCAGTGAAAAGGGTGCCTGTCTGCTTCCTCCCTCCTCCCAGCGTTTAGAGAGTGGATTGGGAGACAGTCTTCGGACTGCCTGGTACTGTACTGCCTGGACTGTATTTTCCCTGCCTTCCCTGAACCTTTCTTGACCTAAGAAAAAAAGAAACAAAATATCCCCCTCTAGTGGTCGAAGGCAGAATAGCAGCTTCCCCTTAGTTTCTATGGACGGAAAAGAGCAGATACGGATCAAATGGTTTTCAATGCATTCCTATGGGAAATGCAGATTTGACCTGAGAACTTTTTGACTTGAGAACCGCCTTCCAATACGGATTAAGTTCTCAAGTCAAGACCCCACTGTACGTTTATCTAAGCCTTAAAAATGTGTGCGCGCTGATGGAACCATCAGTTAAACCAGTGGTTCTTAACCTTTGTTACTCGGATGCTTTTGAACTGCAACTCCCAGAAACCCGAGCCAGCACAGTTGGTGGTGAAGGCTTCTGGGAGTTGCAGTCCAAAACTCCTGAGTAACCCAAGGTTAAGAACCAGTGAGTTAAACCTTGCGTAGCATAATTGGGGGAGGTGATGAAGACTTAACGGCATCCTCAGAGGGCCCAACTTATATTCCTGAAAACTGTCGGCTTCGGCTGCAAGCCTAGGCACTTACGTATTTGGAGAGCAAGCGCCGCTTCGTTTAAGAGGACTTACTTCCAGGGAAAAGGGCCGGTAGGCCGGGCCGGTGAATAAGACCCCCCAAACTCCTGCCACCCGAGCTCCTGTTGCCATGGAAACGAGAGCTCCGTGCGACAGAGCGCAAAAGCCCGAAACACGCCAGCTCCGCGAGCGGCATGCTTAGGCCCGCAGTCGCCTTCCTTCACTCGTCTACCGCCGGGTCCTGACAGCTAAATAGAATATTTTTTTCTGGCTCTTAGCTAAATGCGCCTTTTTCTGTGCTGCGCCTACTCCATGAGGTTTATTTGCTTATTCAGGAATGAGAAGTCATTTTTTTCTCCTTTTTCCTTCGCTAAATCGGCGGCTTTTCTTTTAGTGTTACTTTATCTTGCAAGTCCTTTCTCTCCACAGGTCGCGTCCTCGTTCCCCTCACGACGACGACGACGACTTCTACCCGGAAGTCAGAGCGGCGCCTGCGTAGTGGGACGGGAGACGATGGCGGCGCTGGGTGAGGATCGCTCGGAAGAGCCAGAAGAAATGGACGGCGAAGAGGCTGCCGACGGTGAAGGGAGCTTTACGTTGGAGGAGGTGTTGCGCCTCGGCGGGACCAAGGTAAGAGGGGTGTCCTTACGTTGTTGCAGAAAGAGTAGCGTGTGGGATCTGCGTGGTCTCTGTGAGTGTGAGCACGTGTGATGATGGTGGTGGGAAAAAGGAGCGGCCTGAGCGATCTGCCCTTCGTGATCTTTTGGTCTCGTGGGCAGCCAGAAGTTCCCTCTTAAACTTCTCTCGGTTACGTTAGTTCAGCATAAACGGGCTTAAAGTGAGAGTGTCGCAGAAATGAATCTGCTCTCCAAAGCCAATTGGAATGGCTTTTGGAGGGGTTTATACAGCTTGCTAGGAGATCATGTTACGAGTCATGTCTTTACCGTCAGTATTGGAAGCAGTATGCCTTTCACTGCTAATTCCTGGGACACACAAGCGGGAGGGTGTATCGTGTTCATGTTGCCTGTGGGCCCAGTGCACCAGTTTTGTCAGTGTGGGAACAGCATGCAAGACCAGATATACCTTTGGTCTGATCCAGTAAGATTTTTTTTTTTACATAACTCAGTCCCATTAAAGTTCCAGCACTTTGATAGCAAGTGGAATTTTGCTAAATGTAAGATGTTACTCAGGTTGAGGAATGCTTTGCTGTTAACGTGGATAAGTTTGTGCTTATGGATGATGACATTTCACAAAAGTGTGAAATGTAATGATAGCAGTGGGTTGGTTGCAGAACCTAAAATAGACAACTCATTGCCTTTTCACTTTTGTTTGTGGTCTTCCAAGAAACATTGGTTAAGCACTATTGAAAACATGATGCAGGAATGGATGATCTTTTAGTCTAACCCCATGGAATTTTTCTAATATTTATAAAAATGTTGTGGTATGGCTGTGTAATGTGCCTCCACAATGCTTTTGTGGCTGCTTTTTTAGAAACCACACATCTTATTGGCAGTGCCATATAATATGATGGCAAATATTACTTTTCTGATAGTACATTATTGGCATATATTAAACATATGGAGGAATACGTTCACTGCTTTCTTTGACTTCAAAATCTGGATAACGACTCTGTTTTGTAATGCTGTTAACATTTGTATTAAATTTGTGTGTGACTGTTTATCACATATGATACCTCTGCAAACCTATTAATCATATATCTTGTAATTGTTTTGTTTTATACAGCAAGATTATATTATGCTTGCTGCTTTGGATGAAACAGAAGAAATTGTGGATGGTGGCAAAAAAGGAGCAATTGATGATCTAAACCAAGGTGAACTGGAGGCATTTATAAATTCTTTAGGTGTGAGTAAATATTCGGAGAAATTACTGGTGTTAGAAGAAGAAGAAGCGGATGGAACAGTAGATGAACAAGGGGGAAAACCTCATAAAAAAGAAGTCAGCCCCAAAGAAGTAAACATAATCAAAAGAGGAGAGAAAGAGAACCAAATAAAAGGAAGCAAAGGGAAAACACAGTTAAGTAATGGCAGAGATAATAAGAACAAGTATGTTCCTGATAGTAATGAGAACACTGTTTCATTGTGGGGGACAAAAAAAGCAAAAGAAGAAGAAACTTTTCAGTTCCATGAGCGACAGGTTCTGCTGATAAAACCAGGGGGGAAGTGGTATGATTTGGAATATACAAGTGAATTTTCTGCTGAACTCCAAAATCAGTCTCTTGTATCTAGCTATAAGACCTTGGCCCAAAAGCTGTACCAACAGGAAGCAGATCTCTGTAAGAACAAGGCAAATCTGCGGAAAGGATCATCATCTGCTTGGATGAAAACTGTTGTGTCTTCGGGTACTCTTGCTGACAGAATGGCTGCCATGACCCTTCTTATCCAAGATGCTCCTGTGCACTCCCTTGAATTTATAGAGACTCTGGTTACTCTGATAAAAAAGAAAGGCAGCAGGAGGCAGAGCTTAATGGCTCTGGATACTTTCAAAGAGCTTCTCATAACACATCTTCTACCAGACAACCGGAAGCTGTATACTTTCTCTCAACATCCTTTTAACACTCTGGAGAAGCTTTCAAGTGGCAACAGGGACTCAAGGGACAGGCGCCTCATTCTGTGGTATTTTGAACATCATCTGAAGCACTGGGTGGCTGAATTTGTTGAAGTGTTGGAGTCACTGTCGCATGATGCCTTGATGGCAACAAAGACTCGTGCACTTGCTGTGGCTCATGAACTTCTCTGTAATAAGGTGGAGCAAGAGAAAGCTTTTCTTGTGCAGTTGGTGAATAAACTGGGAGATCCTCAAAACAAGGTAGCCACCAAAGCATCTTATCTCCTAGAGACTTTGCTTCACAAACACCCCAACATGAAAGGAGTGGTTTGTAATGAAGTGGAGAGGCTTCTCTATAGATCAAATATCAGTCCTAAAGCACAATATTATGCAATTTGCTTTTTGAATCAGATAGTTCTTAGCCACGAGGAGAGTGAACTGGCTAACAAGCTGATAACGCTTTATTTTGTTTTCTTCCGGTCTTGCATCAAGAAAAAAGATGTTGAGTCTAAAATGCTTAGTGCTCTCCTGACAGGAGTGAACAGAGCTTACCCTTATGCTCAGGCTAGTGATGAAAAAGTAAAAGAACAGATGGATACTTTGTTTAAAGTTTTGCACCTTGTGAACTTCAGCACTAGCATCCAGGCCTTGATGTTGCTGTTCCAGGTGATGGACTCCCGTCAGACTGTATCAGACCGATACTATGCAGCCTTGTACAAGTAAGTATAACATACCTTATTGATACATCAGTCAGACATTGTTTCAGGAATTAGTAATTGTTAACCATGATGCACATTTGATTGTGAATATACAGCAGCATGGAGGTAGTATTTTCTTCTCTCATTTCTCAGGTCATTCCAGCTTCTGATTTACTCATGTAATGTTTAAATAAATTAGACTTAAACATGCATTGTTTTCTCAAGCCTCATGATTGCACAAAAAAGCCTTTTAAATGCTTTTAGAATACCATTCAAATGTAAATTTGACAATGTTTTAAAATATTAATTTCCTTTTGAAATAGTTGCAGACTTTGAACTTAAACTGATGTTATATTGTGTGTCAGTAGTAGCAGTTAAGGGACGTGGTGGCGCTGCGGGCTAAACCACAGACGCCCGTGCTCCAAGGTCAGAAGACCAAGCAGTCGTAAGATCGAATCCACGCAACGGAGTGAGCGCCTGTCACTTGTCCCAGCTCCCGCCAACCTAGCGGTTCGAAAGCATGCAAATGCAAGTAGATAAATAGGGACCACCTCGGTGGGAAGGTAACAGCGTTCTGTGTCTAAGTCGCACTGGCCATGTGACCACGGAAGATTGTCTTTGGACAAACGCTGGCTCTATGGCTTGGAAACGGGGATGAGCACCGCCCCCTAGAGTCGAACACGACTGGACAAAAATTGTCAAGGGGAACCTTTACCTTTAGTAGCAGTTAGTGAGCTGAAAATACACAGTAACTCATATTTTGAGTTATGCTGCTAATCCACTTGAATAACTTTCAGTGAATTAAACGTATGTAAAAAGTGTGGTGATGTTTGTTTCACAGAAAGCTGCTGGACCCAGGATTGGCAGTATGTGCCAAACAATCAATGTTTCTCAACCTCGTCTACAAATCTCTGAAGGCAGATATAGTACTGCGCCGGGTAAAGGCTTTTGTGAAGCGATTGCTTCAAGTCACATGTGGACAGATGGTACCATTCACTTGTGGAGTCTTGTACCTTGTATCTGAACTTCTGAAAATAAAACCAGGCTTACGGGTTCAGTTGCAGGATCATGTGGTGAGATGTCCTTTTACTTCTAGTGATTACCCTTCTGTATTTATTAATTTTTCTAAAAACATGACTGCTTCTGTTTTTTTTCCAAGTGGTTTTTCCTCAAGATGAATTATTTGTGTAAGAGTTGCCCAGATACACTTCTTTTTTGTTCTGAATAGAACACCTTTCTTAAAAACTCCCTCTCTGGGTGTTTTCAGGAATAAACTTAAAACCTGGCTATTTGGGCTGGCTTTCCCTCCTGCCGTATCTTAATTTCTTATCTTTTCGCCACCTTGGATCTATAATATATGGGGTTTTTTGTGTTATTGTTTTTAAATGTGTCAACTGCCCAGAGTAGACCTTTGGTCTAGATGGGTGGGATAGAAATCCAATAAAATAAATAAATAAATAAATATCAGTGCAGTATTATGGATGGTCAAAAACCACTCCACTTTTGTGGGTAACTTCTAAAGGCTGCCTGGCAGGAATGAGCAACTTGTTTTTTAATAGAGATGGGCACGGTATATGCACTGGTGTTCTGCGGGCACTGTGTGTGCCCCTCTCCTGTGTGAAAACATGATTTGGCACGGTACATGCACTGGTGTTCTGTGGGCACTGTGTGTGCCCCTCTCCTGTGTGATCACTCACTCATGGGCAGCAGTGTACATCTCACTTCTGCAACCTCCAAGCAATTCTCCACTCACTGGCAGGGAAGCACACTCCTGCCAATGAGTGGGCAATTACGGAGAGAACGTGGGGGATGGAAGTGCAGGGCCCCCATGAACATCTGTGGGCACTGGGCCAAACTGCGAGTCATGCCAATCTGGTTTTTTTGATTAATCGCAACAATGGAAATACATCAACAGTGATCTGTAGGGTTGCAAATTGGCAGACACACATTGTCTTGCATATAATTCACAGGGTACACTTGGTTTTATTGAACACAATGGATGCCAAGGTACTGTTACAGGATATACTATTGTTTTTGAATAAAATAGTTGTAGAATATCATCCTAAAGTATTTTAAAATTTAAGAAGGCATGATACGGTTAGATGGTTTAAAAATGTTTAACAACTGGTTTTAATCATCATCGTTGTCTTAGAAGTTCTTGTTTTTAATTTTGATAGATTTTTAGTTTTTTTAAGTATGGTATTTAAATGGTATTTTAAAACAGTTGATTATTGTTAGTTCCTGTGAGCTGCCTTAAGTCCCCTGTGGGGAGAAAGATGGCATATAAAATATATGAATAAAATAATAAAATAAGTACACATTCATAGAGCTGTCACTTGTATTTATCTATAACTTGCCTTTTCAATTTTTTTATCTTTAAAAATGTTTTAAGTGCACATTTAAAAGAATGTGTCATGCAAAACAAATATTTTTCATTGTCGGAGTACATTCATTGGGATCAACCAAATTCCACAGCATTTGAAAGACTCTGTAAATCCTAATTAGCAGTTGCCATGATTATTATGGCGGAAACAAAAGGAACATTTCATTATTGTTTTGCTTATATGTTATTGTTAGTACTATCCTTTTTTCAGTCTTGTCTCAGCAAATTTGTTTTACTCTGCATACTTTAAAACTTAAAACCCTATAAAGACAATCTCAGTATTTTCAGTGCAATTTGTATATATATGTTAAAAATGTTTACAGGATTCAAGTGCTGCTTCAGATTGTGTTCAATGATGCCTGTTGTAGATCTTACTCCTGAAACTTTAACCTTCTAAGTTCTCTGCCATTGATTTATCTTTTCCCAATATTATTTGCTTTTCTGAATCAACTTCGAATCTCTAGTTTGGACCAGCTTCTCTGGTCAGTGCCTTTTTGTGAGTGCCCTTATTTCCTTAGAGCTGTGTATGGCTGCCTTACTGCTTGTGCAGTTCTTATATATGAAATGGCTTTTTTTCCCCAAGGAATCTGATGATGAAGAACATTTTCATGATCTTGAAGAAGCTGAAGAGGAAGAACATTTTGTAGATGCAGATAAAACAACCCAAAATAAGAGTTTGGAAGGTTCTGTGAAACCTCATGATTCAGTTGGAGCCTCTTGGGTACATCATGAGAACCTGGAAGGTAAATATATTTGGAAAAACTGTGCTTTCTGTCTAGCAGACACTGAAAAAAGAGTCGGTTGAAGTCGTAATATAATGTTTTTCAAATATGGATAACTATGATTGCAGGGACAATATTCAGGGGCTTCATTGCTTTATCAACCTTTGCATATGCGAAAGAAGGTGTGTGTTTGCCTGGCTCAAGATGTTTTCTTGCCTCAGGCAACACACGAGATTCTGCACCCCCCACTTGGCTTTACATGCAGATGCAAACTAGACTGGTAGCTGAATATTTCAACAAAACAAAAGATGGGGCATCACATTTTACTTCATTTGTAGTCAAGGGAGGCTCTGTGCGCCCCATTCCATTTTGTTCTTCACTGCTCGTCATCACTTCAATTTGCTGCCTGAGGTGCTTTTCCAATTTGCATAAGGATAGTAGCCTCGTCATCACTTACCACACCCCACAATTTGCTGCCTGAAGTGCTTTTCCAATTTGCATAAGGATAGTAGAGCTGGCTCTTCATGTGTGGTAAAGTGTTCAGATATTACATGAGCTGTGGGTCATTGTGACTGCTGATGGATCTTCCTATGCCTTTCATTCCTACGGGTAAGGAGTAATATGCCATTTTCCTTTCTGTATTAGTTAGGCTGTTCTTATTTTATGTAATGTGCTGCTGAATCCCATAAAGCTGCTTATTGGGGCAGTCCATTTTCTATTATCACAACACTGTAAAAACTTGCACTAGTAGGGGATAGTTGGCCTGATTTCACTGGCTTTTGCTATGAAAAATATAGGTCTTAGAGAATCAAATCATATGAAACTAAAGCAGAGCACACAGATCTTATATTTGCGCTCTTTGCTGGATTTGAAATCTGTTCTGTTGTGTAGCTGGGTATGTTACTATTTAAAGAATACACATTTGCTCATGTATGAAAGCACAAAACATCTTTCATTTGTCAGGTGGAAAGAATAAGGGTGGCTATGATCCACTGCATCGAAATCCTTCATACTGTGGAGCTGATAGAACAAGTTTTTGGGAGCTAAAAAAGGTACGGTTCTTGTTTTCAGGATGTCAAAATTTGCCAGGCAATTTAGTTGCTTTAGCTGAATGTAACTTGAACTGTTTACATATACCTCCATGTAATGAATGTTAGAATGTTAGCAGTCCTTAATAGGCAATGTACTTCCATTATATACATTTTAATTGGTTGATCATTTCTGTTCCAATACTAGATTTCTTGTAACTTTGTGTAAAGCTTTATAACCTAGAGGCCCAAAATTTCACTCTCTGAAGTTCTGAGCTGCTTAACTTTGAAAACTTAATCATTTCATCAGAGCCATGTTTCAATTGTTGCAGTTTTGGCAGTATTATCTAGGCAAATAAAGTTTATTTAGCATTGTCCCCAGTTTCCTGGCAATAGCCAGACCTTGTATACCTAAATTTAGTTTTCATTTCTAGGTTAATATGCCCTGTGGTAAAAGTGCTGTGTGCTCACTTTACAACAAATGACGAATGAAATACTGTTCTGACATTGTTCTGTTGAAAAATCTGGTGCTCCTCTTCCCAACCTCCCCACGTTTTTGCAGGCAAAGAGATAGTCTTGGGTATATTTAAGATGAAATATCCAAATCTCACTCATAAATATGGCTTCAGTGCCAACCTTATTTGACTTAGTGCTTGATAAAAGGTTCTGGAGACACACTGTATGGCAGTTTTTCAAAGAACATAAGAAAAGCCCTGGCAAAAGGAAGCCAAGAGAATAACATTCCCTCTCCTGCTGTTGTTTCCTGGCATGAAGGATCCTGCATAAAATCCCATCCACACTTGAAACCAAGAGGGGAAGCAAGTTCCATAGTTTAATTTTCTGTTACATGACAGAGTATTTCCTTCTCTCCAATCTGAACTTTCTACAACATTGTATAAATATCCTTCTGATTTGCTGTGTTGGCTTGTGCCCCCCTCCATTGTTAGAAGGTCAAGACAGTCATTGATTGAGAGATCTAAGTTGAAGTTCCTACTAAATTATCAAAATCACTGATGGGAGGCTATTCCAGAGCCAAGGGGCCAAAATCTCACTCTCTGATTGATCGATCACAGGGTTATTGCGGGGCCAGAGTGAAGAGGAAGAAAGTCATGACCTCAATCAGGGATGTAAATGTAGTAAGAGTACTGAACGTAATAAGTGAGAAAATAAAATGACTTCAAATATTGTAACCTATTGGCCCTGTTTATTGGCTGTGTTTCCTAGCTTTAAAGCCACTTGGGTGCCCTAGCAATAACTGGAGGAATTTTACCTTTTCAGGGTTCCGTTTTTATTTAATCTGTTAATATGATGATCCAAAATATCTTCCTCTGCATAGCCATTTACAGAAATTTTATTGTTCTTACCCTGACCTTTTCCAGCTTTCAGAACACTTCCATCCATCAGTGGCCCTCTTCGCGACAACTATCCTGGAGGTTAGTTGATTTTGTTTTGCTTTGCTTTTCACTACTTTGGTTGCCACATTGAATACGTCTTCATACATGCAGAGTGATTAGGGATTGCATCTGTGCAGTAGGACTTTGTTTGCCTCTTCCTTTATTCTGAAAAGGGACAAAGTGTAATGGTGGTACCTACCATTCACTGTTGCACACTCTACCTTGGAAACCAGTGATTACGCTTTTCACCCTGCCACCTGAACGCAGCCCTCAAGTCTCCCACTAGAGTTGGAGGCAAGATTGTGAAGTTTATGCCTTTTTCCAGGAGGGTTCTATTCTTGCCTGTTAAGTGATAGATCGACTCCAACTGACCAGAGCAGGAAAAAAAAAACAGTCTCTCCTTTAGCCATTTTGAAGACCTATAAGTCAAAACGCTGGCTCTATGGCTTGGAAACGGGGATCCTGTTAAGTGATAGATCGACTCCAACTGACCAGAGCAGGAAAAAAAAAACAGTCTCTCCTTTAGCCATTTTGAAGACCTGTAAGTCAACCCTTGAGTTATGAACGGCCCTAGATACGTACTTTTCGAGTTACGAACCACTCTCATGGGAAAAAATATTCCCTCAATTTGCAAATCCGGCTTCAGGTTACGAACGGAAAAAAGGGTAGGGAAAAAATATTCCCTCGATTTGCAAATCCGGCTTCGGGTTACGAACGGAAAAAAGGGTAGGGAAAAAGGGCAGGGAAAAAGGGCAGGAAATTCATAACTCAGCCTCCTGGACTTCCCATACTTTTCCCCTGCCTTTCTCCGCTCAGAGGCTTCCCCAGCACCATGGGAGGACCGGAAATTCAAATCTCAGCCTCCCGGACCTCCCACCCTTTTTCCCTGCCTTTCTCCGCTCGGAGGTTTCCCCAGCACCATGAGACAACTTGCGGGCAACCTCCAAAGCCAGCGATTGCGGTTGCGGGCCCCCCCGCCAGTCCTCCCATGGGGCTAGCAACCTCTGAAGCCAGCGATCGCGGTTGCGGGGCCCCCCCGCCAGTCCTCCCATGGGGCTGGGGAAGCAAGGCTCTTCACCTGATGCTGCCACGGCTGCTGAGTCTTGTTTGCGCCGGGCCAGGGACTGAGCTCAGCCCGGTTATTTTTGGGGGGGTGTATTTTTTTCTTCCGCTGGAACGGATTAATTGGTTTTCAATGCATTCCTATGGGAAATGCTGGGTTGATTTACGAACTTTCCGATTTACGAACAGACGTCCGGAACGGATTAAGTTCGTAAATCAAGGGTTGACTGTATGTGGACCAGGATACAGAACAGCAGCCTTTTCTAGCATATTTCACCTTTCTGTATTCTGACACAGATCTCTGAAATCATCTGCTTTTGCTAGGTCCTCCTATTATCAATTGAATTAAAGCAATATGGTCTTTTCAACATTTTCATTTGTGCAATTCTTCATGAAAATTTTCACTATGAATATTGTCTTTGTCTCAGGGCAATTACATTGAATACTCAGGTGATCCTCTGCAAGATTTCACATTAATGAGGTTCTTGGATCGTTTTGTTTATAGAAACCCCAAAGTTCCTAAAGGCAAAGGTATGAACCCTATCAACATTTGTTTTGGTTTTTTCCTTTCTTAAATATAGTAACAGGATAACAAGACAGTCAATAGACTGTGTACATGTCTCTGATAGTTAATTCAAGCTGCATAATGGGCCCATCTAAACAAAATTTGTTGACAGAGCATGTTGGGATAATCATATAATGTTGTTCCAAAACCTCAGATGTTGCAATGGGGGACCCTTAGCATGTGGATCAGAATTTGTAAGAGATTATCAGGAACCATGTTGAAATGAAATTTGTCTCTTTCTCCCGTTCATTGTTTTGCACATTTGAAAGTAACTTTTCACACAATGAAAAGTTCCAAATTCTCCAAAGTGATTAATGTATCCTAAAATCTTTTGTGTTTTTTCCACTGCTATGTGATTTCTGTTCTTGCTCTACTAATTGTTAGTGCTATACATCTTTCGTGTATCGGTTTTCATTTTGAGTTAGAAATAGACATAGCATGTAAGAGTTTCGTTTATTCCTCCCACCGCAGTACAGTGCATGTAAGTCAGTTGAGGTCATCAGCTACTTTTTTTTCCTAAAAAGTAAACATTTTCAGATATTAAAACCACACATGCAGTGAGGAGCCATTATGTCCACAGTTCCTCCAGCATGAAGCAGATGCAGGTATTTATTGTATTTAGGCAGCCTAGAATAGATGTGCAGTGGTATAAGGCTTTTATGTTACCTTTTCTAAAAACTTGTGCTGACACGGTCTTAAAGGTGAAGTCCATGTTTCACTTATTGTCTGGAATTGTTATATCCAAATCTGTTTCACAAGCACCTTTGGAATTACTTCATTTTTTGTATGAGGCATTTAGCATCTGAGTTAAGATCGTTTAATATTTAGCAACAGTTACACCCTCTTGACTTTCTTATGCAGAAAACACCAGCAGTGTGGTAATGCAGCCAAAGAAGAAACAATCCATGAGCAATGTCCGGAATCTTGCAGGCAAGTAAACATTCAGCCTACATGTGATTGCTAGTGGTACTTCGGTTACCAGTACAACATCATGTTGGAAGTGTGATTAATTTCAATGAATGATGTGTGTGCAGTGTGCTGTGTCCTGTGATGTATCCTATGGGGGAGGGGGCAATATGCCTTTGGATATGAGTGACAGGGATAATATAAGCAAAAGGTTTTGGGTGCTACTGTAGGAACAGAACATCATACTAGGTAGCCTTTCAGTTTCATCTTGCATAGCTCTTTTCTGATAATCTCTTACATGTCTTCTTTCAAATAAGTGTCTCTGACCCAGCAGAAACTAATATGACGGAGCTTGTCCTCCACTTGTCATATGTTGACTGATAGTAGGGGTGTTGTTTCTATTTTAATACTTGTGTAATGTTCTAACAGTTGCTGTAAAAGAACTTTCATAGGTTCTTGTGGACACAATCCATGATATTTTATGGGAAGGCAGACAAGAAGTAACCAGTATCTTTAACATGCCTTAACTTATGCTTAGAATATGCTGGCCTCTATTGTTTTCCTAAGCAGTTTGGTAGACCATCAGAGTACACTTATTTTCTTGCACAAGCCTTTCATGAAATTGATTGTCAATCTTTCAGAAGCAGGCAGTTAACTTTTTCTTTCTAGTTTTGCACATGGGCAGTTGATAGCCATTCCATTCAATATTTCCATACTGAAAGTTGGTGAAAACAGCTCCCTATGAATAAGTCACAACTTTTCCTTTAAAATAGAAAGAAAGTATAAGATATTATTAAGATATAATATATTAGGTAATTTTACAGTCAACTCTAAATACAAATAAGTGCTAATTTTTTAGCATAAATAGCCTTGATCAGTAGCTAAAATCCAGTAAAGTTGTGTCATATAATTTTGATATTGCTACCAGCTGTGGCCAAATTTTGGTAAATTAAATGTTTCCTATCTCCCTCCCTCTAGGCCTTTTTATGTTACTGGATTTCAGGTTGTGTCAACACAGATAATACTGTGATGTAATAAATTATAGTTGTGATTCATTGGGAGTTCTCACCTTTCTTTTTGTAATCTGTTCCCAAGCTATCACATTTCTTCTCCTTAAATGATCTAAGCAAACAAGTTTCTTAAACGTACTTAAGTGGATCATATAATGAATTTACTTATCTATTGCTACTTACTGTTGGATAGACTGGTGGGTAAAATTTTGTCTGGCTATTATGTCAACAATAGGCCTGTTCCCGTTAAAATCCCTCCCAGCTGGTATTTGTGTTAATGTCTGTGGGAAATCATTCAGGTACTGTATATATGTTTTTCCCAAGAGAAGAAATAGTAGCTTTTGTTAAAAGAGTGCAGGGACATGGTCCCAATTCATCTCCCCAAAAACCTACTGTCAGAATTTTAAAAAGTGAGGGATCTGTATCACCCTGGTCATCTCTACTTGTGGCCTCAGTCATTGTCCATGTACCTTGAAAATGTAGTCATTCATGTTCTGCTGATGGAAGCCATTGAATGACAATTTATAGCAAATTTATTTAGTAAGTTCACTAGTATGTCTTCATTTCTAGTTAATAGTAAAGAATTCCTTGCGCAGGATGAAAGCAGAATCCCAGTAGATGAAGTCTTCTTCCACAGGTAACAAATGTTTTTTTAAATGATCCTTTTCATGTATCTAGAATTCTACCTCTTATATGACGGATTCCTTCTTGGTGGTTCCATTACTATTTTCAATTGTAAAAGTGTTCTTGCAAGGGGAAAAGTTGCTGTTGGAGGATAAGAAAATGCAATTGTTAATGCTATTGAAGCTTGCTTAAAAAAACACAGAAACCCATAGGAGTATGTCATACATCACAGAAAACAAGCGGGGAAAACGGCCAGCATAACTGTTGTCTAGTATTAACTGGAGTGGCATGCACTACTCAGTGGCTTCTGATTTTTTTAAAGCTCTGAGAATATACACTTTCTCCTTTTCCTCATTTATGAGATATAGTTGAAGACTCTAGAAATGGCATTATTCCCAAGCATTGGTATAGCCACCTGCAAAATACTTGTATTAGCCATTTTGTCAGTAAAAGTGGCTATGAAGAACTTAGTCTTTCTCTGTAGCTATTGTGGATAGCATATGTAAAAGTACTACATATAGTGAGACTATTATGTGATTGGCAAGCAGACTGTATCAAATTTATATGATTATTCATTATATAAGATAAATGTGTCAAAGTAAAATGTAAATGCTTGCAGCAATACTGTACCATAGCAGACAAAATTTTTATTTATTTATTTTTTCTTAAAAGTTTCATGGGACAGTTTTGACTACTGAAGAAATGCATGAGGTCAGGCCAAATGGGAATCTTTGTATCAATAGCATTAGTAGCAGTAGCGATGACAATGATGTGCTGTCAACTTGATTGCAACTTATAGTGACCCTTACCAGGGCTTCTAGGTATACTCAGAAATGGCTTACCATTCTGTATTGCAAGGCAATACTAGTTCCATATACTTTTGGATTAATTACTTTCTCGACCTTCAAGCACTCCTATATTTTGAATAAGTAAAATGTTGAATTAATCCTATTTCTGCTTTGACAAGAAAAATCTGTTATTGTCTATCACATTTTAGATCCCAATTGTTCTTCCCCAGGGAAACCTGAAGTCAACATACAAATGATTTCTGTTACATAACTAAAATTCTACTATATGGTCCTACAATAAGTCACACAGTTTTAATAAATGTAATGTAATGTTTGTGATACTACAGTTTTTATCAGTAAAATCATAAAAATCATAAAAGAAGCAAGATCTCTTATAATAAAATAGTTTTCATAGTCCTTATTGTTTGATATTATATGAACATAATGTTCATTTTTCCATATTCAGATTTTACAAAAAGCTAGATATGGAGAAAGCGAAACGTAGACCTGTAGCTGATGATGAAAGTGTGGAAGATGTGGATGATGATGAGTTTGAAAGAGCATTAGGTAAGACTATTTCATATCTTCTTTTCCACCCCGACCAGTCTGATTCACCAAGGAGGTGTTTAGGGGGGAATAAACCAACAGCCACTTGTACTGCATTGCTACCTGATTGCTCAGTTAAGGACATTTCCTAGTTAAGGAGACTAAGCAGATTTGGTGAATGCCAAATTTTATATCTGTACACATTTTAAGTAAGGATTATGCTTAATAGATTTTTAGATGGTGCTTGCTTTTTGCAAGAATATAGTGTGCTTTCTAAATTTTAAAATGAACAAATTCCTTTTGTAAATCAAATAAAAATATTTAAACCTGTATTGATACTGTGAAGTTAAACTTTTGCACCTGCTTTTTATCTTTCAGATTCATTTGAACAAGATTTTGATACAATTGTCAAGGAAGACCTTAATTTTGCAGGGTATGGTTTTCTTTTTTAATGGTAACAAGCAGACAGACAATTTTGACTTCCAGAGACTATGGACAGAATAAATGTCTGGATAAAACAGACAGTATAAACAGAGCATGTAGTATGCAGTGCATTGTGTCTCAAGTTTCATAAAGCCCAAACCAGGGATTAGCACATTATGGCCCTCCATATGCCTCCAACATTTCTCGCTATTGCCTATGCTAGTTAGGCCTGCTTGCAGTTGCAGTCCAGCAACAACTGGAGAGTTGCAGGTTACCTATTGTGCCCTAGACTTGTTTTTGCAAATGTATCACTTTTAGCTCATAAAATGGGGTAGAGAATCATTGGTACCAGTTGGCTTAAAACTCCTGTCAGCTTTTCCTAACATGGCCAATGGTAAAAGAGTGTAGGAGCTGTATTCCAAAAGATTCTAAGGGCCCTCATTCTTGCTGTGAAGCTGACTGCAGGGAGGGTATGGCCATTCATCCCCTTTAATATGGTCTGCTTGCCCTTAAGATGGAGGACACAAGTGCTGCCTCACAACATGCATCTCTTACATTTTATGCAAGAGATTTCAACCTATGTTGTATGAATGAACTCTTCCTGCAGTTCCTCCATTTGGCTTAGAGTTCCTTTTGCATCTAACCATGCATTAGCGGGATAGAAACATTTTCCTGTTTCTACACTGACTGAGAATAATACAGACTGATCACATGACACTGCAGATTAAACGTCCACATCAAATGATGTTGTGTATGCTCCATACTTATATCTAGTATGACCTGAGGCTTAAATGGAGACAGCTCATTGAAAGAGAGCTTAAAAACAGCTGGCTTAGAGAGAAGTTTTCTGTAAAAGAACTCTTCTGCTCACTTTGGTTTCAGCTTCTTTCTAACTGAGCAGTTGGCAGTACAGCACCTCCTCTTCCTTGTCACAGAACATAGAGAAAGGCAGCTGTGAGAAGTCCATATAAGCTCTGAGTGATGTTCCCACTTGCTTAAGTTTCATACACTTTGAAATGTTAGTATTACAGTAAGAGGGTAATTTTGGATAGGATACTTACCTGTACTGATTCTAGCATTACATAAGAGAAATCTTAGTGTATCTTGTGAACTCAGTGTCCGTAATCATTTACTGTGTGAGTGGATGCCTGTTATGTCTGCCTGATCCACCCGAGGTGGCTTATACATCACTCAGAAAACATGAACCAACTGTTCAGTGGCTCATGCCAGTTTGTCCTTTGGATGAACAGGTGTTTGGTGCTTCCCAGCCCTGCCTCTTCTGGCAGGCACCCACTCAGAGGTAGGCTCATGCCCATCTCTACTCCAAATGATATGTCATAGGTAGGGTATGGCATTTTACTGATCAAAAAATAATTGACTAAAATTAGTCCGGAACTGTTTAATGCACTGTCACGATGAGAAAAAGCTAATGAATCATAAATACGTTTGATACGTCTGCTGATTACAAAAACAAATTGCTGTGAAGCACTAACTTAAAATGATGGCTTATGTTTATTTTAATTTTTATGCTGCCTGTCACTCATGCAGCATGTCATTTGTTGAATTCTTTCCCAACATAAGTCACTTGGGTCCTATCCTTGAGCTTCCAGCAACCAGTCAAAACTTATTTTGTATGACCTTTGGTTTTCAGAATTGGCTTTTAATTTTTTTTTATTTCCATTATTAAGAAATGGTCTTGGCTCCCTTCCAAACCTGGGAGTTGAATTGTAGAAATAAAAACAGGCCTAACAGCAAAACTTGCTCCCTGTGTACTCTGAGATTGTCAACCCCTGTGCTAAGTAAGGGGAGCCTTCTTTCTGTCTTCTCTGGCTATGATACAAGCAACACAATAGATCAGCTGGCTTAATTTGACTGAATGGAAGGATAAATCTGGCAGAGAATATAGAAGCCATGTGAGCCCCCCATTCCCTGGATTGCTTGGGTATGCTGCCCACCTATATGGTGGGAGGGAATAGAGCAGAGTACGGTGAAGCTCCTTCCTTACACAGGCAGAGCTTGATTCTGTTCCTGTCCAGATTGGTAATTATTGCCATAACACTGAATGCTATGGTTTGTTTGTTTTTGTTTTTTGTTTTGGATTATAGAGGGCAGCCTTAAACACAGACACATGAAAGATGACTGCAATTTCTATGTTGGCATTAAGCACCTTTTGAAAGTTTTAAGTATAGATTAAATTCTAGATTGCTTACGATTTATGATCCCACTAAAGCACTGTGAGAAAGGTTCTTTAGTGAGAAGGGTGTTTTTGGTTGATAGGTTTTTGTTTTTTTAATCTCAGAAATGTAAAAGACAAAGGGAAGAAAAGCCAAAAGGAAGAGGCTGTGTGGGGAGATTCTGATGAAGAGGATTTTGATGACCTTGATGATGAGGAAGTCTCTCTGGGGAGTATGGATGAAGATTTTGGAGAAGACTTTGAGGAAGACGGAGGGACCTTCATGGATGTGTCAGATGATATGAATGCTCCAGGTACAAAACAAACTCCTTGAATTATTAAAATTACTTTAAATTATATGAAAAGCTAGTTATTTTCGAATGCATGGTTTTGTCTTCAGGTACCATCAGGTAAGGAATATTATGACCTAAATCCAGTTGTTAGTCCCAACTAAATTAAACCAGTGGAATTTAAATGGTGTCAGTTTACCAATATTCTGTTGATTTAATGAGTCTATGCTAGTTACAACTAACAGTTGGATTTAGACTTGTATTTGTGGAAACATAAGTCTCTAGAAAAGAACAGGCATGGTGGCAAACACGTTTGAAGGATACTCATGTCAAGCCTGACACTGAGTCAGTAAAAATTACTCTTTCTACTGTATTCTAGTTCCTAGGCTGTAGGTCCTCAGATTTTATTGGACTACAGCTTCCGATATCCTTCATCTTTAGCTGTCCTGGATGAAACTTGTGGAAGGTGAAGTCATTGACATGTGCTGCCTAGTTTGGGATTGCACTGATAAGTATGTGCTCTCACACAGACATAGTTTTGCTCTATATCATGTTTTGCTTCAGGGACTTTGAAATCATGAAGGATTTTTAAGACTTTATTCTTTGCTGGTAGTAAAATTATTCATATTCCATGCTTTCCTTTTAGTTATACTACAGCTTTGAAACAGAAATACTATGAGGCCATTTCTTTTGGTATTTTTTCCACTTAAGAAAATAAGATATTTATTATTTTAAAAATGACACAATAGTTTGTTAATCAAGAGTGTTCACTAGATTGTTTTCCTATCACATAATCAAGTCTTTAGTTAGGGGTCAGAACTGATGCTAATAAAATAATGTATTTCTATTTCACTTCCACTTTCGTAGAACAGGGATTCCAAATCAGTCATGTAAAGATAAGGAAATAGCCACACCAGTTTTCAAGAACAACTGTTTGAGTATGTGTGTGTTATTGTTTGATCAAATATAACTGCTTCAAAGGCTATACAGAACTGTTATTGTCTGCCACCTGTATCTTTCATTTGCTTGAATTGGCTTTCAAGTACAAAAGCTGGTCTCATGGGATTAAGGGGGAAATATGGCTCCTGCTAATTGGACACTCATGTCACAGCTCCTCTACTTCTGTCATTTTATGTTATTGGACCAGATCATTTCAGTATTATTACATAAATCTCAGTGGATGTTCAGGAGGAACTGGTATTAACATCTGGATTTCACTATGTTTAGAAGGGACATAATGTGTGAGTGCATAATCCACATGCACAGAACAGTTAAGATATCTATAACCATATAATCCTTGCTAATGTCTAACCAACTTTAACATACATGACTAGTAATTTTTTGGGGGGAAGACACATTAAGAAAGCATATTGTTACTGATTCCACCCCCTTCTCTTCCCATGTGAATTAAATGGTAAAGGTAGTATTCTTGTCAGTCCAGGAATATTACTGCATAAAAACAGTGATTCAGCTTGCACATATACACAATCTTAAATCCAGTACAAAGCTGTGGCAGTGCACCAGTGCTAACATACACTAAGCTGCCAGTGCAGTTTTTGCAATAGCAAGGATGATGCATTTGGAGACAAGGAATGTCTGCTTTTTTCTTGGTCGGGAAGTGATATTGGAGAGACTGCCCTCTTTCCGTTAATAACACTTCAGAAGTGAAAAAATGTTTTTTGAAGTAAGAGCAAGCACAGGAAATAACAATATATAAACAGCAAGCAATTCAGGATTACAAAAAGATGTTCAGATGAGTTGCCAAACTCTCTTCCCAAATAAACAATATTTTGCTCTTTGATCATATACAAGTTCTTGAAATGACTAGAAGAAACTTTGTGAAATTTGTTAGATAGGTACTGAGATGATCCCAGTCTTCATAATGTTCCGTTATGCAGGGGTGGGCAAAATGTGGTCCTCCAGTTAAGTTATGCAGGGGTGGGCAAAATGTGGCCCTCCAGATGTTGAACTGCAACTTCCATAATTCCTAGCCCATGCAGGCAATAGTGAGGACAGTTGGGCCTAGCCCACACAGTGAGGAATGTTGGGATTTGCAGTTCAACAACATCTGGAGGGCCGCACTTTGCCCAGGTCTGCATTATGGTCTCTGCATAAAACACAGAAAATTTTCATGCTGCAAATCTTCTATTTATTATGTACTCTGAATAAGGTTAAACTGATTTCCTTTTCAATAACAGATGAAAATAAACATGATCCAGTAAACTCTATTAGTAGGAGAAGCAAAGGAAAAAAAGAAGTGGATTTTGCTGGATCAATTAAAGGTAATATAAGACTTCAGTCTGAAGTGTGAGAAATGTGCATTGGCTCAGGTATAAAAAATACAGAGGGACAGGCACCCTCCTGGTGGTAACGTAACTCAAATCATGGCAGGTATATTCTGCCTACTTTGCAGTCATGCATGACCTTTTTACTGATAACAAGTAGAAGGAATTTAATGTCATTGGCTGACTTCTTAGGGGAAAGTAATTCCAAAAAGAATTTACCGTGCATTGTAAGTCCCACCAGAGAGGTGCCTGTCCCTCTCATGCAATTTAATAGTTTTTTAATTCTGTTTCTTTTATCACACACACACACACACAAATTTGACTTTGTAATTATGTGTGTCATGAAAGGAGAAAAAAGGCAGCAAGGCTATATGATAATAAATGTGAAAAAGTGTAAAGACTTTTTCAGATTGATACAAGCAATTTTTTTTTAACAATACAAATTTTTTTCTAGTAGTGCATATGAAATCTGTCAAATAATGGTGACAAGAGGATAGCCAGAATAAAACTTAGTAGTATAAAGTTAGCAAATTACTATGAATGTATGCAATTTGTCCCAAAGTTCCAAAACCAACAAATGTGGAGATCCACTGAATTATATTAAACATTTTATTAATAACATTAACTTCCTTACTAGAGAAGAAGGATGCATTTGGTGTTATACATAGAATAGTGGAGTTGAAAGGGCTCCAGTTCAATGCAAGAATCCAGATTAAAGCAAATCTGACAAATGGCTGTCTTAACTTTTTCCTGAATGTCTCCAGTGCACTACCTCCCAAGGTAATTGGTTCAAGTCTTACTGCTCTAACCATCAGGAAGTTTTCCTGATATTTAACTGGATTCTGACTTCCTATAATTTAAGCCCACAAAAAATATGCAAATTAGACATTTCTTGACCATTCCTCTACAATTGCTGGCAAATGTGAAAAATGGTCCTTTGCTCTGCTGAGATTGACCACCCCTGCTTTAGTGCTTCATCAACCTTAGCCCCTGTTCTGTTAAGTAGCACTGCTTGATTTAAGGAGGCTTGGACAAGAATGGGCTTTTAACCCTCTAAACTGCAGGTGGCAGATGAATGTGACATAGTTCTATTAAGGTGAGAATTACCTCTGCCATGATTCATATGCATAGACTTTTAACAGGAAATAGGTCCAGGTGGATTTAGAGAGAAATATGTGGGTTCAAAAATACCTCATTTATTTTGAGTTGAATGTTAATGTCTTTACTTAAAGGGCCAAGAGAAAGCAAGAAAAGAAAACTCAAAGACTCTGGCGTGCTTGCTGCTGCAGAAGAAGTAGGTGCCATTGAATTCCGTATCCATTAAAATGTATTTGACCCGGGCGGTATTCTGATCACTGACCATTTTCTGTTTGTTTTGAAGTTCGGTTACTTACTGGATGAAAATGTTGGGTCCAAATTTGACAGCATTGGGATGAATGCTCTGGCCAACAAAGATAATGCAAGTAAGTAATTATTTCACAAAAGGGATCAATGAATGCATTTATCATTTGGCTTTAAAATTTGAAATTTATATTCTGTACTCCAGAAAAAGCTAATGTTTAATTTCTTAGAAATTTTCTTCATATTAGAAACTGTTTTAGGTTCTTCATGCTGTGTAGTTAAGAGTAAATGAGCCTGTCCAGCAGTGAGTGTACTGCTTACATAAAACAAGAGCCTTGTGTTGTATGAGAAAACTAATTTTTTAGCCAAAGTTTTCAAATGGATTAATGAAAATAAACCCACAGTAGGATTGTGTTTATCACAAGTATACAATGTGGCTAATAGTATGGATATGTTATTAGAACATCCAGATATAAAAGTGAGCCATTTGATGTTCTGTCCCAGTAAAGGGAAATACATGTTGCTTATTCTCCAGGCTTTATTGGAGATGCAAGCATTGGAACCCAAATAAAGTGTGTTTTACAGATGAGTTTTATGGAACTCTCTGTTTCTATGGGACCCTTGTTACAATTTGAATATAGAATTGCAATTAATTGTGCAGTTTTCACAGCACTTGTTTGTAGGGTCAGAATAAAGGTTTGCTTTAGCCCTTTCATGCAGATTGTCTTTCTGTTCTCCTCTCCATTTAAGTTAGCAAATGAAGTGTCTCTTTGAAAGCCCTGGGAAACCATTGAATGATGCCAGAGACTTCTGTAAAGTCTCATATGTGTCAAGTACTGTACTGTCCACTGCATTTTTTCTGTTAAAGGAGATGACTTTTGGGAATCATAAGAGAAAATACATAGCATAGGTTCATCTGTCTCACTTGACATAATGGGATATATTTCTCAGCCTAGATCACCAGTATAGAACTATTTGTAGATTACAGAGATAAGATTTAGAGATAAAGATGCCCTCAACAACACACAGGATTATCGGCCAAACCTTGTTCTGTGGTGTCTTCCTGCGAAGGCGGCATGACATCATTCAATGATTAAAGTCTTAAGCCTTATAACACAATGGCTAAACTGTTATACTGCAGCCAAAACTGTGCTCACAATCTGGGGTGGAGTCCCAGGTAGCTGATTCAGCCTTCCAAAGTTAGTAAAATGAGTGTGCAGCTTGCTGGGGGAGGGGAATGTGTAGCCTGCATAATTGTAAACTGCTCACTGGTGTGGCATATAAGCAACATGCTTTTCCTATTGCATTTTCGGAGTATATGTGACTTTTGTCACGTGTGATTTCTGCATATCCCCAAATTCTTAAAGGAAGGCTTTGTTGTTGTTTAGTCATTAAGTCGTGTCCGACTCTTCGTGCCCTATTGACCAGAGCACGCCAGGCCCTCCTGTCTTCCATCGCCCCCCGGAGTTAGGTCAGATTCATGTTGGTCACTTCGGTAACATTGTTCAACCATCTTGTCCTCTGTCATCCCCTTCTCCTCTTGCCTTCACACTTTGCCAACATCAGGGTCTTTTCCAGGGAGTCTTCTCTTCTCATGAGATGGCCAAAGTATTGGAGCCTCAGCTTCAGGATCTGTCCTTCCAGTGAGCACTCAGGGTTGATTTCCTTCAAAATGGATATGTTCTCTTTGCAGTCCAGGGGACTTCACCTTCGATATGCCAGGAGGTGATGGGACCAGTGGCCATGATCTTAGTTTTTTTGATGTTGAGCTTCAGACCATTTTTTGAGCTCTTCTCTTTCACCCTCATTAAGAGGTTCTTTCATTCCTCCTCACTTTCTGCCTTCAGAGTAGTATCGCCTGTATATCTAAGGTTGTTGATATTTCTTCCAGCAATCTTAATTCCGTCTTGGGATTCATCCAGTCCAGCCT